AACTTCTATAAACCATATACACTGAATGATTTTGAGGTTATGTTTGCAAATAGGCACATAGGTATTAGAATAATAAAAACCAAATAACTTATATAGGAAAATAGGGCAATCAAGCCAAGTACCGATATTATGTATTAGATTCAGGTATATAGAGCATGTAAAATAACAGATAATTGCCTGTTTTTAAAATTAATGCACAAGAGTAAGTTTTAAAATCATGATTATGCCATTGCGACTTTCAGAAGCAATCTTGTTTCATTTGACAAGTGTCTAACACTAATTACACTAACAAAATGCATGTCAAGGAACTGGTACCTGCTTACCTATGTTATGAGAAACATGGAACTGTTATCATAATTTTATAAAAACCAATAGGATATTTTCTTAGTAATAATTAGGTTTATAATGGTAAAAGGTAATTCTAATGTAATAATATATTGCGTAGGTTCATGATAGTTCTGATCAATGTGTGAAATATGTATATTCCTGACATAGCTTAAATATTCTGATAAGGTAAATTAATGAAATAAAACAACTTAAGTACTTTTATGTTGCGTTTAATATTACATATCATCTACATTTTGAATTAAAATATCATCGAAATATTTTATTAATCTTTACAAAATAGATTTGTTTTGATGTTATATAAACAACCTCGATCAGTCTTTGTGAATGTTACTACACCCATAACCAATAAAAATGCTTCGTATGTTTTCCAAACCGGTAAAAATAGAAGTCCTTTTTTAAAATTAATATATTATTTAAAGGTGGCCGTTAAAATCTAATGACTGTAAAATAAAGTATAAATTACGCCAAGAATTACTGTATATGTCAATATTTTATTTGCATTTAGGCCAATTTGACCAATCTCCTTTACAAGTTGTAAAACTAGCAGACACGAAATTTTTATTAGTGCAGACTGAGCGAAATACAAACGATTAATTTTCGAAACCATTTCAATTTAAAACTGAACGAATAGCCGACAAAGCTAATGAAAGTTTTGTTATTAAAGTTTATTTTTCGAAAACGAAACCTACCAAAAGTTCTGTTGTCTTGATACGAGGCTATAAGTAGGTAATTAGTTGATGACGTCACAAACGCATTAAAAAAACGACTTTATACACACATGGTGCAAAGGGGCAGATCGTGAGCGCAATGACTTTGCCTTAAAAGCGTATTATTTGTTGAGTCTGACATTAATTGAACTTAACAACGCAGACGGGGTCTCTCATCCTTTGTAATACAAAGCAGTTTTATTTGTACATTGAATGCGACTGCATTCGAATTAGTCGCATTTGTTCTCACGTCCACAGAACACAGAAAGAGGTTAGAAGGGCCTTGTCGGCGGGGTAGGCGCGCCACAGTTATGTGTGAGCAAATGCTCATAACTTTATCAAAACTTGCTTCTGATTGCGTCGTTGCTCTCGGGTGTGAGAGCTGACTGGTTCGATTGTTTGATGGCGCGTCGTTTGATTGGTAATTATTAGAGATGGGCCGACTATAGTATTTGCCGACTAACCGACTAGCCGACTAATCGGTTTTTGAATGGCCGACTATTCTGCAATGCCGATCATTCTAATAACTATCTTAGGAAGGTGTTCGGTTTATTTCGTCACTACTCTGCTTGCTCACGCACGACACGAGTCTCCCAAATCGAGCCGAAATATTCATGTTCCAAATCACCATATGCCTCTAAAGAAAAGAAAAACCTATGGACTTCTTTAAGACTCGCTAGCACGTAAGATTTTACTCAATTAATACATACTTCCTTCCCACTGCTATTTTGTTTTATGCGATATTCATTGTGTTAAGTTATCTGAATTACTGACAGATTCTTAAGTTCCTAATTCTTATTGTTATAACTTTAAATACATACTCTTGGTACTGTTTAAATATTCTAAACAAGTATAAGTTTTGGGTTTTATTTCATTGTTATGTGCCGATTATAATCGGCATGTTTTGACGAATAGTTGCCGACTATAAACGATGCCGACTAGTCGGGGGCTAGTCGGCCCATCTCTAATAATTATCTATTAGGTGAAAGTGTAGTGGGGGTGAGCGAGCCGGCGACATCGGTTCCCGTACAAAAGTAATATGATCAGTGATCACCCTTCTAACCTCTTTCTGTAGTCTGTGCTCATGTCGTGCCGTTTATTTATATTGACTATGAGCGGGAAGCATCACAGCAAGATTACCAATACCAAATCTACAACAGGGATGACGAAAAAAATGGTTGCCTGTAAAGTCGGTTTTACGGGCGAAGATTTTACGTGACAACGTCTTTTTCTCGGTAGAATATTTATTGATATGAATATAATTAAATTGCACAATAGGAACAAGGAATTGAATGAAAATAAGAATTGCACAAATTTTAACTATAGAAATATATTTTGTTTACTAAAACATTGTACATGTAAACTTAAACTTAACACGAGAGACTCATCGTAACGTTACCGAGCGTTACACTTTTTCATAAGTGACTCCCAGCCGCAACCTAATTTAAGACGTTGTCACGTCAAAAACTTTTTAACGTGACAACGTTTTACTGGAGCCGGCTGCACGCGCGAAAAAACATGACTCATGCGGCGTTACCTCGCTCTGAGGCGTTCCATTTAAGGCTTGAAGTGCAAGCGAGAGCGCGCAACGAGCGACAAAGAGGCAACATCGGCCTCCGCGTTCGACATCTGTCTCTCTCCTACTTGAGTGAGCGATGCGTCCGCGTGGACAGCTGCTATACAATAATACATTTACATGTTTTCGTCAAATATGAAGTGCAGTGAAAAGTGAATGTGGTGTCAATTGTTTATAGCAACGATAATTGCGGCGATAAAGGTAATGATATCACAACATGTTTAAAAGTTGTAAAACAATTGCTCAAAGCACATTCATACTTGTAAAAACTATGTACATTGTAAAAAAACGTTGTCACGTTCAACTATCGTCAGTAAACCGACTTTACAGACAGCCGATTTTTTTTTCTTCGTCTTAACAGATAGACCATCAAAAAGTATTGAACACTTTAGGTGTTGATTGTTAATAAACTCATAAAAGTGCTTTTGTTATTCAAGTGTCGTAATATTTTTATCCAATTCAAACCAAAGTTATTTAAAAAGCGATTTTCACTTAATAATCATTACGTCATCGTCGTGCTAACATTAAAACCAAAAGGGAAGATACGGTACGCTCATACTAGCATTAAACAAAATATGCTACAACTCAACTAAATAAGCATATCTCACACACGCACTTCTATAAATAAACATTCAATCGAGCGAGCGAGACAGAGCCTGTACGGTCCATGCAGCGCGAGCGAAACGGCGAGACCGCGACGATTGGCCACCGACTGCATTTTCCTTTCTCTGTCTTCAAACGGCTGAGCTGTATTGTTGTTCTTTTCTCGATAACAAATGGCGAATATAAATAAATAATATTAATGACAAACCGTTATTTCGGAGAAAGAATTGTTTTTATAGTTCTACGAATGAAAAGTGTTGCTGTGAATGAATTTATTATTTGATCTTGAACTATTTGTGTTCTTATGGTAACACAGAATATCCGCAATATAGGCATATTGAGTGCACACGCAGCGTGTTGGATGTCAAATTGTGACTAAATTTAATTGTGTCCATGCACCTAATTTAAGCGGTACACTTACGAGCCGCGAGTGCCGTATCTTCCCTTTGTTTTAATTTAATAGCTCAATTATATTTGTTCGTTAGCCCGTATTCGGGTGCACGAAAGAGATTACTCGAATTCGGGTGTACTCGACTTCGTTCATTTACACTTAGTCCTTTACATAAATTCCATTGGCACTCATATTCGGGCTATGGACAACGTGAAATCGCATAAGAAGTCGTCGGTAACACCTTTCCAATTCAATAGCTTTACCAACTTTTGACTTTTATGTAAACATGACTCTATAGACAACGTCAATTATTTTCATATAATAATGTTGTATTGAAATTGACGTTACATCTCGGGTTGACGGACAAAAATTATAAAATCTATCTTGCTAAAGCCTGCAAAATTATACTCAAGAAAAAGTAACTTTGATGTAGGTGTCCCTTAAAATTATATAACATGTGTTTTAAAAAATAATGAATAATTTTACCAGGAACATAAAATCACAGAATAGTTTTTTTGGCTGCAGTCTTTTGTAAGGTTAGGAGACAATTACCCCCCCCCCCCCCCTTTCAAAAATATTTATGTGTAAAAACACTATTACGTATACTGAATTGTACTGTCATGAACTTAAGAAAACAAAGGTTTCATATAATATTGCTACCTGAATTTTTTTACATGGTACCAGGGGGGTATTTACACAAGGGCCAAGAGGGCTGTCAGGTTTTAAAATACGCCCCTGCATGGTACATACAACTCTTTAGCGTGAGTAACTTGAAAGTTTATTTATTCATTCAATTTTAACTTATTAAGAACAGACGTGTGCTCAGAAACATTTCAGAAATAGGTATATGAAAAAAAAACTATTGCTGTCGCGCATTGGCAAATACCGTGCGATAGCAAGAGTAGCTAACGCTGAAAATTGCATATAAAAATTTTGAAATTTGAGGTTTGGTTACTTGTCTCCTCGTTAATTTAATATTAATGAAATAAATTTTACCTATAGAATAATTAGTAGTAAAACTAGGCCTCTGTGTTTTTCTTTTTCTGTAAATACTTATTGAATCTCCACACTAGACGTCTTTAGTGGTGATAAAAAATTGTTTATTTTTGTCATTTTTGATGCCTTCTAGTTTCTTTGAAACATAAGTTATCTAAAAAAAAGGAAGACGTAGGAGCATACAATGAGTAATATTATATTCTACGTATGTAAATCAATTCTATGGTGATAAAAATCAAGGAGGAATCAGTTGACTATGTTTGTATGGAAAAAAACATTGCCTGCCCTTTTAATTTGTTATTAATACTTTTTATGAGACATAAAATTCACCAGTCTAAACTCAGAATCAAAAGTTCAGTTTGTAACTTGTGCCACTCACCCCTTTTCCCTGATGGCGTGCAGTTGCTTGGGAGAGAGCGGATGCGGCTCCAAGCCCGCGTCTAGTGCGGCGGCGTCCAGCTCGTCGCATGGCGGCGCGACTATGATGTCCGAAGGCCGGTTGCCAGGGCCAGTGAAACAAGATTGAGGAAGAACTGCAGAAAATTTATGATGTCAGTGTTACCAATTTCTTGTCATGCATCCGGGGCTGTAGAGTTGTATTTAAGGTAGGGCAGCCGTTGGGGGCGGTGTAGGGCCATTTGCAGCCTGCCCCTTTTTAAGGTAGGGCATAATGCGCTTCCTAGCTACGACCCTGCATGGATAATGTGAAATTTTACAAGTATGTGGTAATTTTCAGTAAATATATTATCCTGTGCCACAGTTCACACAAACCTGATGTTTTTGCAACTATTAAATAAATTTTTCCTATTTTGGTCTGAAAGCATAGGAATGCTCGATATATCCTCTGTGTTCACATATAGATAGTAAATGTCTACCAACAGAAATGGTCAGATGGGACACCAAAAATTTTCAGAGCCTATGCTTTGGCAGGAACTTTGAACAATGGATCCTGGCTGCTTCTGTCGTTTTAATATCCACTAATTTGCATCAGCAACAATCATCTTTACCAGCTAGCTACTTATTAAACATTTCGCATTTTTCTTATGTGATTCTAACATATGGCAGTCCTATATGCTTACGATGGATGGACATATTAACAAGCTGATTGTTGTAAATTGACACTGATCACGTTTGACAACATTAAACAAATATACCTTTTAATTATATATTAAATTTACCTCTCTTAAATAATCTGTTATAAATATACACAGTGTTACTTAATAATTTTCTATTATATTTATCTGTCTCACAGTTATTTTCATGGTATGTCAAATTCATAAGTATGGTACGAAATTTATATATATTTATTATCAATTAATGCAAATAGAACAATAGTTTCAATTAGTTTTGTTAAAGATCACTAGTAATTAAATGCTTTCTCAATATTTAATTTTTTATGTACTCCAATAATTTATAAGATATAAGTGTTACATGTTTAATTGCTAAATTTTTTGTTAATTGTATGTTCAGACAATGTAACTAATAAGGTATGTATCAATGCATTAATTGAGTTGCATGCTCTAATGGGTTGAGTTCTGAGAGAGGAAAGCCAGCAGTTAACAATAGCCAATCACTAAAAGAGAAACTAGTAACATACATTGTAATTATTACATTCTCATACTCTACAATGTTGATTGTAATTCAGGGTTGTAAAGAATTGTTGTTTCCTGTATAAACCAAAATATGCATGATGTAATGGAGAAGAAATTGTAGTGGGCAGTAATAGTTTGAGACAAAAGATACATTATTAATATATAAAAATTACTTTTATATAATTCAAGTCAGTTATCTCTAGTCGCCATTATAAAAATATGTTTGTGTGGCATTTGTTAATTATATATAAATGATAAATTTTACAGATAGCTTACTGTTTACAAGAAACACTATTTTGAGCTTCAAAAGAAATACTTATTCACTATAGATGCATGATTAGGCAGTTCCTTAATAGATTTTCACCATTAACTGATTTGGTTAGATTGTCTTTTCATTCGAAAAAAAATTTATGACTGTTTTGAATCTTACCTATGGGAAAAGTTTTCCAGTGATACAAAAAATCTTCAGCCACTTGCTTTATGTTGTTCACAAGCTGCTCAACTTCTGGCGGCGCACCCACCAGCTGTACATCGAAACGCAGCGGCTCGCGCTCCGGGGGCACAGTCTCTAGTAGCAAGGAGTTGGGCCGAGAAGCCCGCTCGCCTTCCCCAGCCATAGCAATCACACGCGACAGAACCGCATCAGACCCCTCAAACTTCAGACAATGTGGCGTGCATCCCGACTCAGTAATCGTTTAATCGTCTCCGGTACTACAGTGGGCGGAGATATCACTTGACACCGAGCTCTTATTGTTTTATTATTTAATACATTCATTGGTTCTACGGAGATTAAACCCAAGGGTTTGGTGATTAGCCTGCTGCTCAAAAATATTTATACTTCACTAAATAGGGACGTAATATAATCATCCTGACTTGATCACTTAAAAATAGGATTTCGTTCGTAGACAAAAGCAAAAAAGCTAGGGAAAAAAACCAATAGGCACCCTACGGTCAATTTCCAACTTGACAAATCAATCAACCAAACAACTGTCATAAAGAATTTGACATTGACACTATCATTTTTTGGGTAGTATTCTACGAAGGCTAAGGATATAAAGTCCATACAGTTTCCTTTTGAATATATTTCTTTTTTTTGTATTGGTATACTAATTCAAAACTAATTTTACACAAAACTTTTAATAAGGCATAGTTAAATATAAAGTGCATCTTTTTTACGTGAATAGTGTCAATGAATTACATTTCAATACCTTACACAGATGTAAAGTGGAATTTATTTAGAAGTCGGTGAAATTTAGTTGGCCGAATGTCTACAATTTCTCAAACCTATTATTTTTTTAAGAAAACATTAAGTTGTCAATGTGGTGATTTGTATAGTTGTTTATTATTTATTGCAATTACAATAAATCAAAGAATTACGAAGTCAATTTATGATATTATTGTGCGCTTTCAAAATAGAAAATATATTCCATCAGCTTGTTCATAAACCGCTATTACTTACGCAGCTACACGATCAGGTACATCGATTTCATTGTCTTCAAGAGGCCGAAGGTAATCGGAATAGGTATGTCCCACATTACCTATTATTTGTTAACAAAAATTTATCAGCTATCCTTTGTGATACGCATAGGAATCTTCAGTGTTTACTAGCAAAATCGTTTTATTTATTGAGTTGTATTTTGGTAAGTTTATGTTTTGTTGCCCCATTTGCTAAAATTTCGTTATCAGATTGAAATGAAGGTTTAATCATTTTTCCAGTTATGGAAGCAATGGACATCCAGGCTGTGGAATCAAAGCTGAGTGATGTGACTGTTACAGCAATACCAATGAGTGGTAAAAATGTCCATAAGGATTTAGGTCATGGTGGCAGCAGCCATGCAACAATTTCAACAGTTCCAGCATCCTCTCCATCTTCTGTTGGCAAGGATAAAGACAATGGCACTTCTAAGTATGCCCAGTTACTAGCTGTCATAGAGGAAATGGGAAAAGAAGTCCGACCAAGCTACTCTGGTAGTCGTAGTTCTGCAGAACGCCTGAAACGAGGCATAGTCCATGCTCGCATTCTTGTGAGAGAATGCCTGATTGAAACTGAGAGGTCAGCACGACAGTAGCTTGCGACAACAAAACTATCCCAGTCAATTTCAATACCTCACTTATGTGTATTTCTTTAACAAATAATGTAACAACTGTTTATTTAATGACTGCCAGATTTTACTGTTACCATTACATAAGATTAAAAAGTAATCATAGTTCGATGGATATGAAGAATATTTTACAAGTTGTCAAATTTCAATTTTGCATTGTCCTGTATAAGTGTCAAATCATTATCTTAAAATACTAAACCTTTTTCATGGATTATATTTGCAGAAGTTAATTAAAAAGATTGTAATTGTTTAAAAATATGTTGTAATTAACAATTAACATTCTCTCTATATTGAGATCTTATTTATTAGAATATAATATATAATTCAGGGTATGTAGACTTATATAAGGTCAATGGTTATTATGGAGTTTAAAATTCATATAAACTATATATTATTTATTTGTAACTTTGGACTTGTGTAATCTGGATACAAAATAATTTTGCCTTAGATTTTTTAAGTTCATAACATAAATGTTTGTGCTGGTACTAAGTGGTAAGCAGTGCTGGCAGTTATAGATTGGATCTTAAACATTATATGCAGAGTATTCTCTGTCCAAATGTAACTTTGACAGCTGTTGAAACTAGATAGAAAGTGAATATTGATGATATTGAATAGCAATATATATACAAATCTCAAAAGAGTTTAAAACATCAGAAATTAACTTTGATGAACAATAAAATCTGTTTGAGTCTAGATTTTTTATCCTAGTTTCAACCGCTTGCTTTATTTGCATTTTAATATGAGATACATTGTTTATAGGCAAATAGATATTTCAAGCAATAGATGTCCTGAATAACAGGCTGTGATTGCAACATTTATTGTGAACATCTACCTCAAAACTCAACAAATATTGATATTTTTAATGTTTAAATGTTATATGTATATTCAGTGATGTCATTTTAATGTCTAAACGAAATTTACACAGATATGAAGTACTTAATAATGTTTACACCATTGCACTCATATTCATATATTAGTACCCAACTATAGTACATCAGTTCATTTTAATATCAAAATTTTGTGATCTACTGTGGGTTTTATTCATTTATTATTAACTGTACTGTTGCTATTTGGTGTAAAAAGAAGCACTTTTGAAGTAATTGTTTATTTCATGAAATCTAGCCAATCTTCTGACCTCATAATTGAATATGTATAATAGATTAAGAGAAATTATGCTCATTGATTCTCGATATTTTTTAATAGGAATAAGTTGTATATAATTTAGTTTTAATGTTGAATCAAGTTTAGTGATAACTTTCACAAACCTTGTAGTATTTTTTTATGACATTCAATAATCATTTTCGTTTTTATGTTAAAGTTCATGTGATTTATCAAAGGAAATAAAATGTCATTGACAAACTTATTCTACAGCAGTCCATAAAAACAACTGAGCAAATAGAAAAACATTGGTCCAACTGCCGTGAAGTATACTTTTAAATGTAGTTAGAATTAAGGAGAAATTACGAAATAGATTTAAATTTGCAATATAAGTTACCAATTGTTAGTACTTAATGTACTTACTACTTAAATCTATAATTCTTCAGTCATTTTCAACAAATTTTTAATGTTAAAAATACTTACCTCCCAATATTATCCTGCCTCCCGAAAAATTGAGGCATACATTTTTAAAACATGACTTTCTATAGAAAAAACAAATACTTTGAATGATAATACTAAATCTTATGAAGATTGAGGTGTTAAATCACCTAAAATTGTATACGGATTTGCCTTCAGTTAATGAAGTCTTATTAATAAATTACATTTAATGAAACAAAACAAATTGGATGGATGCTTCATATTTGCTTTGTAATATTGCTCTTATGCTTTTGTCTAATTGTCAATCATTCTAATGTTAACAGATTCGATATTAATGTCCTATGGCGCAACTCGCAAATGGTTTCACTAAATTGTATGATGATGATATTTTAATTTATCAAAAGTTACCGATTACTTTGCAAAGTTTCTAAAAATACTTCATGTACACCAACACAATGGCGATTTGAAAAGTGTAACATCGCTACATGCTGTCTAGAACTAAAGCCATATCCTTCTTCCATCACTGCTTTAGAATGATGTTAAAAGTTCATGGAATTTCTTGTTTCAGCTGTTAGGACAAAGAATATTAATAAATGTAAGTGGCGAACCATAAGACAGTACAAATTTTAGCGAATTATAATATTATCTATTAAGATGAATGTGTCAGAGATAAATGTTATAATAATACATTACAGTTTACGAAGTAGCGTTAGATTGCTGTATTTATTCATGTATGAACATATTTTTTATTATGAATAAATGGGTCTTAAAAACTTCATTTTTATTTCGACCATGACATGCTTTTGCATGCATGATATGGCATGACTGCATTTTACGATTCTGGGCTCCTTCTGGCGCGTTGCTGGAAGTCTATTGTTAGATAGCCCTTTAAAACTCACTCTCCCATTATCGAGTATGACCTATAATTCTTCTTACGTAATGATCACAATCTTCGATTAGACTAGCACAAAAACATCGGTTTTCAAAGAGACAATATCTTCGAAGTATAGGGTTCGATCCCCGTCAATGTAGAGAAATTGACGTCTCAGATTTGGGGCACCGTTAATTATTTCTACATTCATATTCACTCTGCCTTGATTTTAATTATTATGTGGCTCTCAAGAAGTAAGGCGTTAAATCATAAATAACAATCGTTTGTTTGTCCATGGATTAAAAAATATTTCATCGACCAATAATATTTTAGTGAAACAAATCTGTTGGTGAGTAAAGCTCCAGCTTGGGCACTGGGGTAGTGGGGTCTCACCCCGGCAAGGTGAGGATGGCTGGAGACATATTTTCTGTCGCATCAACATCAACAACTTAACTTACAAATCATTAAGAAGGTGGATAATTAGATGCGGCTTCATAATAAAATCTCGCTTATCATAGGCGACGGGTGATTTCAATACTGCAATGCATTACGCAGCGTAGCGCGAGAATGCGTGAACTTGGTTCAACTTGGTTGATTGAACTTAGGTTGCTTGCAAGTATCTCTTTGTATTGAAACATGCGTAGGGCAATACATTTAAAACGCATTCACTCGCAGTGTTGCAGATAACTCGCGTAAATGCAGAGAAACATGAGTTTTGGCAAAATCTGCATGATGACGCAGATCTGCACTCCCGCAACCACGCGCGTGGCTCTGTCACCAAGCGACCCGCAGCGCAGTGCGGTGCAGTGTGAGAATCGCTTATATAGACAAAAGTTAAAGCTTGGTTTATAACTTTTTTTTGTTAACGCAGGAAAAACCTCTGTTTACAGACGACGGCGCCTTTAAGAGGCACACCGCCGAACGGACATCACACCTGGCTCGCGCAAGCTTTACCCTGCGAATACCCTCTAAGCTGCTTAGTGCGAAGCCATGGGATCCCCGTTTATGCACGGCAGGGGTCTCCCGGGGTATCGAGGGACCCCGCAGACGTGCGCGGGTAGGCCCGCGCTGGGAGCTAAGTGTGCCGCCTAGTGCCCACCACACCGCTCCCCGTCCGCTGCGGGGGCTGCCTGGGCGTGCTCATCGCAGGTTCTCCCGCCGCTCCCTCTCGTAGGACAGAACTATAAAAGGAGGCTGCCGTCACGGGGTCCGTCGGTGGCCGGCACAGCTGGCACCATGCCGGTCAGCGAGGGATCCCCCGTGTAGGGTCATGGGACGGGTGTAGCCAGGGCGCACCGCCGTCCTCTCCTACCCGTCCTCCTTTGGCGGGAGGGAGCGGCCAGAGGTTCATCCTCCCGTTCCCTCTCAGCCGCCTCCTTCTACGAGATAACGTCCACGCAGAAGGAGGCGACCGCCTCCTACGCCCTCTCGTTGCGGAGCATGGTGGAGATCATGCTCCAGGGCTCCGCATCCCAGCGCCGCAATGAGCTCGCGGCGCTGGTGTCGCCAGGCCAGGCACTTCAATAAGGTGTGCTCGGCCGTGTCGTCCATGGCGCCGCAATGATGACATTGCGGCGTTTCCTCCCGACGTGCGACACGGTGCAGATAGTGACCGAAGTATCCATGCCCGGTCAAGATCTGCGCCATGCGGAACGTGAGGCCGCCGCGCCGGCGACCCAACCACTGCTCCCGAACTGTGTTAACACGAACACGACGGGAACACCCCCGTCTGCAGTGTAGCATCAGTTCTCTTTAAAACAAATGAACTCTCTCAAATTACAGATGTCTGTACAGTGGAACACTAAATGGCGCTGGCACACGGGTCTCAGCGCAGATTCTGTGGAATGGTGCCCCATAGAGACCTACAGAAATGTACTCGTCTGTGGAACTTACCAACTGGATAACTCACAGGGTTAGTAGTATTATATTTATGGACCGAATTAACTAAACGGAACTTATTTTTCCCGTTCTCTTCATTCATCAGAACAAAAAGTTACTAATGTAGTACCCTCAATATCAATCAATCTCGATACGTGTCAAATATCAAGAAGTTTTTGTATGGAAATTTTAACAGGGCCACAACGAACGTTAAGAGAATTTTTGCATGTTGTAACATAGGTACAATTACTTTATTCATTGTGTTGGAACTTTGTAAAGTTCCATACAAAAATTCTTGACATTTGTCGCATTTCAAGATCGCATTCATCTATTCAAATTTGATATTGGTTCGTGCTTAGGGTACAGTAGCATAGTATATATATATATGTTTTTTTGCGTGGCTTCAGAGTATGTACACTAATCACCGATACGTTACATTTCTTTTAGATCAAGATCAAGAAGCAAAGAAGCAATCAAGGCTTGGAAAGATTTATCTATTTGTTGTCAATCAAAACGTCGGAGATTTGTCACCGGTTCAAACATTAGACACAGCTGGAGTTTTGGATCAAAAATGGTGTTATCACACTATTCAAAGTAACCCTGTGTTGGCAGTCGCAACATCAGTGGGATGTGTGGAACTTTATCGTTTGGAAAACAATGGTGGTTTAAGTCTTAACTTATGGACCAAAGAAGAAATAGGGAAAGATATTTTAGCATTGTCACTAGATTGGTCTACAAATAAAATGCTTAATGATCCGCCGAAGTTGGTGGTTAGCGATTCGTCGGGTTCAGTGACCATTTTGACAGTGACTGAGAACGGTATGAAAAAGACTAATACATGGAAATCACACAATTTCGAATCGTGGATAGCTGCATTCAATTATTGGAATACAGAGGTGTTCTACAGTGGTAAGTGCCGAGGCATTAAATTGCAATCAAAACTGGATTAATGATTTATTGTATCCGGCTCGAAGGACCAATAAGTAATTTCGCCGACATAACACTTTTTTTACAAATATCATGGATGATATTAATCTGCATTGTTGCATGTCTGTTTCCGCTGTTTTTTTTTTGTTTAAGAATACCTACTGGCCAAACATTTTATTTCCCCACACAAGCTAAAACTATACTACCATATGCAGGTGGTGACGATTGCGTGTTCAAATGCTACGACGTAAGAGTGCCCGATGCGGCGGTGTCGACTAACAGGAGCCACGAGGCCGGCGTCACAGCGGTGCGGAGCAACATGGACTGCGAACATCAGCTGTTGACAGGCAGGTTTGTGGTGTTTCTTACAGTATACAGGGTATTGTGTATTAGTATTGTTATGTGTATTGACACTCTTTTGAGTCGGGTGAATCCAGGGGCAGGGGCGTATTTCTAAATCTGGCGCACTGGGCTTTTAGGCACTTTGCAGACGACGGGGCGGGGCGGGCCGGTCAATTTCGCCGCGAATAATAGCACAAAGTGAATCCTATACTTCAAACGCACACAGAGGATAAAAAGACCGCGGCTGCCCGCCGTGGATCATACAAACCAGTTTATATGCAGTAACGCAGACGGCGGCGCGGGGCGATCAGCTCAGTCCGCGCCACGCGCTTATTAGTGATGGACTATTCACTAGAACGAACGTCCTAAACTGACCGCCTCTGCCCGTCGTGTGCTTTGTGTACGTGGCGCGGGCAGCCGCAGACATCGACGGGCAGACGCGGTCTTTATTGCTTCGCGGACAAAATGCCCGCCCCGCCCCGTCGTCTGCTCAACGCCTTACTATTTGCGTCTCCGTAGAATTAGTAAGTCCAATCTAAATATAGGTAGTTGAAAAACGAATGCCTTTGTACGGCTTTTGCCGCCGCTCTCAGTCTGCCGCCGCGTGCCATAGCCCTTTTTGACCCTAGAGTATATACGCCCCTGGGTAAATCTGAATCATTGGGCGGTGGTGCTAAAAAATTACACTATTTTTGAGCATCTTAGGTCCATTATACCTTTAAAATTTATAACATCTTCTGCCTGCGACTTCCCACAAGAACCTAACATTTTTCCGGACTAAAAAGTATCATTTCTCAATTCAGGTAATAAATTATAGGTATCTGTGCCAAACATGGGCATTCGTTCAGCCGTTTTGCGTGATTGAGCGACAAACTGTTGTAACAAACATATAAATTTTCACATTTATAATAATATAATAACTACATTCCGCCCCCGACTCCGTCCACGCGAAAAAAGTGGTGTGAGAATTACACAAGACAGTAAGATTATTTTCCGGACTAAAAAGTATTCTATGTCTCAATCCAGGTAGTTAACTATATGTGCCTAATTTCATTAGAATCCGTTTAGCCTTTTTTGTGTGATTGAGTAACAAACAACTCACATATATAATAATATAACTATGATAAGCCTAGTGCGTAACACGTATATAAAACTTGAGTACATTTTGTTCGAAGCTGGTAATTACTACATCATGCGGTTTCTGGAGCTGGGCACCTATTGCGCACGCATATGGCAATATACCAAACAATATTTCACATTCATTTCAATTCACGCCAATCAAATATTTGATTTTACAGTTACGACGAGAAGGTGCGATTGTGGGACGCTCGTAACCTGAGGAAATGCACAGAGGAGACAGATGTAGGTGGCGGTGTGTGGCGGTTGAAATGGCACCCCTATCGCCCAGACACGGTCCTGGCAGCTTGCATGTACGGCGGCTTCCGCATCCTGCGGGTAGATGCTCAACATATTGACGTGACATGTGAATACTTAGAGCACGAGAGCATTGCGTATGGCGCAGATTGGGCTCATATTGAGAACAGCCTAGTGGCGACTTGCTCGTTTTACGATTGCAAAATGCATATCAGCGATGTAGTTTTGTAAATAAATGAAATGATAGAATAATGAATAGCCATCTCATTTTAAACATGTTGTATTTCAATTTGCTTATAATGTCATGATAAATATAATTTATAACAATTACATACTTAATAAAGTAATAATTTGCCATAAGTGATAAAAAAATTCTTACACCATTTTTACATTATGAAGGCTTTGGGATGCTGTTATCGTCTTGTTCGCGTTCACGAGTTCATGCCGAATAAATTTTAAAAACACTAAACTGGCCTGATACTCCCTACTATAAATTTGTACCTTAATATTTTCTAAATAAAGTCTATTTTCTATTCACTGGAATTAAAGTACATAATTTACTCTCATCGCATGTTACTTAATGCCAGGCAAACAAACATAGCTCCTCACAGCTCTAAAACATGAAATGCTTCAAAGTTTTTATACGAGATTATTGAATATCGACTAAATTGTGGCACGTGTGCCAACGAAGCGATAAAGTAACAATGGTGCCAATTCTGGCGTGATTCTCTAAACTTAAAACTAAATTTAACATCAGTCTCTCCTTTTCATTCTGTATAGAGAATGACAAGGATATACTGCTGTCAAATTTAAGTTTAGGTTTAGAGAATCATGCTAGAATAGCCACCAATATATCGCTACAGCTTCCACGCAGAAGTACCGAATTAAATTCGTTTATTTCTGGAATTATGCATAATGAAGCTTTCATTTGTGCTAATTGCATAATTCCGAATGTTATAGAAATACTAAGTTTCTTTTCAATAGTGCTCTTTATGAATCTTATATTATGTAACATTACTATAGTTTTTAATACAAAAGTTAGCTAACACATATTTCTAAGAACACAAAATATAGAGTGATGGTCATCATTGTAAGCGCGTTCTCATAATTTATAAAAAATGTTCAAATCACAACTCTATATTATTAATATAATTGAATGCCATAAAATATTTTAGGTCTTATATTGGTTCAAATCCTTGGCAAAATACATTAATGTTCTCAAGTTCACTTGTACCTCCATAAAAGTCTGCCGAACACATCATTATTAAAGACAGTAAACTGTGGCACTTGTTCAGTCTATGAACATTTTATTGCTGAGAAATACGAGGTTATGTCTAACCAACATGTTGAGGCAGCGAACAAAATTAGTCTAAACACACGACAAAAATAATTCGCGTAAAATATTTGAGGCATTTCAATTACAACTTTAAGCGTAAGTTCACGGTATATAAACCAATATGTATACAACTACACATGATTGTGTATACCCACCGATAACAATGCAGTACCGACATACATACAAGTATTAATTTTAAGAAGCTATAAAAATGCAATTGTAAATTTTAATAGACCCCAAACGATTTTATAATTTTTTTAATCACAAGACACTATTAATTAGACTAGTTTTGATTCTAAAATGGCAACTAAACAGTTGTTTGTGTCACATAAAATATATTCATTACATTGATGTAACGTTTATTACTTTTAATATCACTGCATCGTCACATGAATATATAGACAACATGTAACCGAGATTTACACCCTACTAACAGTTTACAATGAGTAGAAGACTCGAATATTTACAATGAGAGAGTCCCAAATTTAATATAATAGTACTTATCAATATAGAATGGTACTCATCTAAAATAAGTATGTATTACCTAAGAGTAGAATTAGTGACACCATAAAAAACTGTTAAAATAAATAATAATAAAATCATATTTTACTCATTGTACACTGTGCGTTCCTGGCTTGGGGGCCTACATGACATCCATTATATAAAGTTTGGATAATTTTAAATGTTTTTATTAGTTGGTCATAAATTTCTTTTAAATCATTATTATTGGGATGTTATGAAAATACTGGAGTCATAAAAAACTTCTCTAAATGAATAGAACTTTAAGATCAAAGTAGGCATATCCCGAACCCCTATATTCGTGTTTTGGCGTCGACTCTTAAAGGAATCTAAATACAACAGTAAAACTATAAAAAAAATATCTTTGAAAAATGCATATGCATTAAAATATATTTTTGGATCAAATTTACCATCACTATTATGCAATAAATTTAACACATTAGAAGAAAATAAAAATGAGTAGACTCAACCTTGTGATATTTGCAAATATGCTTATGCAATACTACACAATACTGTATTTCACATAATAAATGTCAGATCACGCTTGCTCGATAAAACACTTTCAGACAGTGTTCTGATGCGTCAAATTTGTATTTACAACATACAACTATATTTACATTTAAAACTTGGTCTAAACCACTAAAATAAACATATCAGTAAAAATAATCTGTACATACATAATGCGATGCTTGCTAATCAGGCAGAATAATACCACCAAGGTTTTTATCTACAACTTGTCTAATGATTCTGCAGGGTTGTATCACTATTTAATAAGCTATTCCATCTTTTTTTTTCGAGTTTTTGTTGTTGTACATGGGACACGGTTGTACGTTTAAACACCCTCTATAGTTTTCGTTTACTTAAAAATATATAATATGATCAGGTTTTTTAAGTAAAATCTGGTATGGTGACTTGTTTTTGTCAATTAAAATTCTCAAGGCCTCATGACTTAAGCCTGAAAGTAATCTCTCATACATGGTCACATCCATTGAAAAATTAAGTCCTAGTTTATTAATATACAGACAAACTATGTAGCTGCATGGGCATAGTCCTTTACTATATTTCATGTGTTACTGTTAGCAAGACAGCCTGCGTCAAGACAACATATCACACTAAAATATTTTTGTAACCACATTCACACTTAATAGGTCTAATAATATAGACTGCTGGTGGGCTATGGTCATAAGTTATTTCAAATTCACTTTCTAGTGTTTTTGCTTATATATTAACAATTTCCTTCCCTTTCGTTATGCTTTACTTTTGCACACACAATTTACGTTAAAATAGTACAGTATAATTAATTTAGAAACTTTTACAACACATGAGTTACAGTGTTGATCTAGTAATTCATCCTTTAAAGATCTTATTTATAATGCATGCCCACACGCACTGACTAGTGGCCCTAAATCAATGCAAGTTAATTTGTCACAAATTCCTGATTGACCAGTTTAGTAAGATTGTTCATACACCTTACTTCAATAGAGTCTTTCCAGAGTCATCACATACAACATGTATGGTGGGTTTTACATTACAGGTCTAAGTCCTAAATGTTATTGTTTTCAATGCAAAAGAGATACTGTACTTTCATAGGTTAACTTCTGTTGTTGAATGTTTCTTAGAATTGAATTAATCACAGTTTATAAACATTATTAATTAACAATAGGTTTCATGTGACAGTAAAGCCTCAATGATACAGGGCGAGTTTACAAGCTACAAGCCCGCGAGTTCGCTAGCAGCTTGTAAACTTGCCGCATGTCATCGGCTTTTTTACCATCTGCTACTCAATGATATGGGGCGAGTTAACAAGCTACTAACGAACTCGCTGGTTTGCAGCTTGTAAATTCGCCCTGTGTCATCTTAAGGCTTAAGGTAAAGTTGATCGCAATGTGTTAAGAACTTTATTTCTTTTTTGTTATTTTGTAGCTAGAAATGTGATCCACTCGGCCTTTGTATAATATTATATATTCATTAATAAATGAGTGTGTTTGTTGGTGCTAGTTATATATCGGTGTCTTCTTCATCCAAGTGCTAAATAAACATTGCTATCCATTTGCTTGTAACTGTTTAGTACGTACGAGCAAGTGGGTGAACGGTGACAGTGGATATAGGCGTGAGAGCGCGGGATCGAGTAAATGGAGGTTTCCTTCACTATAATTTTAAAAACGCGTGTTGTTTTTTGGTTTGTGCAGCCAGATCTCCTCATGCAGGGTTTACATGCGTGATTTGAGATGGGGCACAAGTGGGATGGACAGGGGCGTGTTTTAAAATCCACCGCCTCGGGTTATTTACGATTGGGTTGGCAAACCTAGAACTAGTAAATCAAATCAAAATACAGGTCTGTAGCGAATGCCTTTATATGGCTTCTGCCGACAAGGGCGACGGCCCTAGGGGAAATACGTCCCTGGGGATGGAGATTGGGGTTGTATAGACGCGAGCGGCGATAATTTCACACACAGTTCTACGGATGAGGTGGCTAGTCGCAAATTTACATGGTGAAACCACTATAGCTTCACAAACAGTTTTATGGCTTGGGTACCTGGCAGCACGCTTGGAATATATTATTATCATTTAGTAGCCATCCAGCTCCCCTAGCGCAGGGTAGTAGTGACGCACTATACGGTAAACAAACGCGTGATCGAAGCGTGAGCACGCGTTGGATGGAGTAGTATAAACTCGAGTGGCGACAATTTCACACACATTCTCGAGTTTAATTGATTTCAATGCCACTTCAAACAGTTCTAAGGCTTGTGCATCGGGCTTGGAACATGTCATCATCTAGTAGCCAGTATACTCGCGCGCGATGCAACACATGCGTGATCGAGGCGTAGGCACGCGTGGGATGGAAGAAGATGGAAGTAGTAATTGCCGTGCCACACAAAGTTTTTTCAGGTTACGTGGTTTCACTAACACTTCACAAACGGTCAACGGCTTGTGCACTGGTGGCTAGTCGCGAGTTCAGATGGTGGGCGCGCGCTAAACGTTCGTTTCGCTAACACTTCACAAATAGTTCTACGGCTTATGCACCAGAGGCTAGTCTCGAGTTCAGTACCCTTAGTACAAGTTTTACAATGAGCTTGCACTCGTACTAAGGTAACTGATTTTATTATTTTCGTTTCAATACATATAAACAGTGTTTAAGTTCTATCATTAAATCATTTGCGTCTTCTTAAATTTTAAATAGGTATATTTGGTTACTTTTCACCAAAAATGGACATAGAAACATAATTTACAATTACGAAAACTATGATAGTTTTCTTGTGCTCAAACTCGTACTAAGGGTACAGATGGTGGGCGCGCGCAACGTTCTTTTCACTAACACTTCACAACTTGTGCACGGGGCAGCGAGCTTCGAACGTATCATCGTCTAGCTGCCAGTCAGCTTGTCGGGTGCAGGGCAGGGAGGCAAGTAATTGCCGCGAGCGACGATAATTTCAGACCAAAGTTTTTTCAGTTTACATGGTTTCACTAACACTTCACAAACGGTTATATGGCTTGTGCACCGCTAGCTAGTCACCAGTTTAGATGGTAAGGCGCGCGCAAAACGTTCCATTTCACTAACACTTCACAACCGGTTCTACGGCTCAAGCACTGCTGGCTAGTCCCGAGTTCAGATGGTGAGCGCGCGGAGGACACTCCATTTCACTAACACTTCACAAACGGTTCTACGGCTTATGCACTGCTGACTTTTCGCGAGTTCAAATGGTAAGCGCGCGGAGAACGTTCCATTTCACTAACACTTCACAAACGGTTCTACGGCTTGTGCACGGGGCAGCGGGCTTGGAACGTATCGTCGTCTAGCTGCCAGTCAGCTTGACGGGCGCAGGGTAGCGACGCACGCGCGACACAACCGCGCGCGGTGCAAGCTAGCGGCGCAGGCGGCCGCCGGCAGTGCATACAGGCGTGGCAGCGCGCGGCCCAAACGCCAGCGCCGAGGCCCCATAAACGCGCGCCGGCCGCGACAACGCCGGGCGCCCAAACACCGCATGCCTCGTGGAACCACACCTCACTCGCGCCCGCTGTTCGGTACTCGCGGCGCAGGCATTCCTCCGCTGACCTACGGAGTTATTATAATGCGATTCAACTAAGAATAGGACCGACTGGGCGCCATATTGTGACGTCATAGCTGTCAATTCAAACCAAATAAATAATAATAATAAATATTTCCAACACTCACACTAATTAGCCTAGCCCCAAAATAAGCACTGTAAGGCTTGTGTTATGGGATACTAGGGTAAATACATATATAAGTATATTTATATAGAAATACATATTAAACATCCATGACTGGAGTACAAATGCTCGTGTTCATCAGACAAACATCTACCCCCACCGGGATATGAACCCGGGACCTCTCGAGTTGGCGACACCATGAAACCCGGCGTACAAACCACTCGGCCACGGAGGTCGTCATAGAATAGTTAGAGGGAGCAAAAAAGTTTTTAATTAATAAAACTTATTTACTACGATTAAGTGAACAGAAAACATGAGTTTTTTTTAAATAAAATATATTTACTAAGATTGAGAAAAAAAAGGAACCGATTTTTAATAATATTTATTTGTTAAGACTGTGTGAGAAAATCATTAATCAGAATCTAGCTCTTCAATTCCGCTCATCTCTGCATTACCGCGGGAGTAGTTATGAATAATCAGGCACTATTACTAGGTCACATACTAACATGCATCGTTTATGTAAACGAAAGTTTTAAATCGAGTTTATGAACGCAACTTAAAGTGACATTTGGTTGACGAATTAGGTTATCAACCATTCATAGACAAAGGTCAATATCAACCAATATTAATGATCAATATATATGTTATTGATTGTTTACAAATGTTTGGTTTTTATTCTAGAATTAGCCGAGTGCTAAAAAAGGTATCCAAGTTTTTTGCAAACCGTACTTTTCAATCGACATTTGACAGTTAGAGGTCATTGGCTTTCCTATTCTTATATGAAACGCAATATAATTTCATTAGCAACTATAATAATTAAATTGTACAGTTTACTGTTACATACAAATATTTGCTAACACCGTAAATTTCACTGAGGCGGCGTCTATAACCCGCGTTTACCTACCAACGCCAAACCAATTAGAAACGCGAACTAATTAACACAAATTAGAGACAAGAATAGCCTTCACTTTAACTGTAACTTTGTTTACAATATATCTCGGAAATTTATTTCTCTCTGATCTTTTTCTTCTGCACTCCAACTAACCAACTCTCATTAAAGATGTACAAACTGTACATAATTGCTTAACTTTGGTTTTGAATAAATAAATTATACAACATGAATTAGAAATAACTAGCACACTGAAAGTAGTTGCAAATATACAAACGAAATAATATCATTAATTTTTATTCAATCTGTTTAACCAGTGATATCTCAATTTTAGTAAAATTAATTTATGAACCGTTTTTTTGGGGTCCGCAGTCGCTGAAAGCGCATCGCCACGTGGCGTTGGGCGTAGTCACGTCGTATGTCAGCCCCAAAGTGCTATAATATACTTGCACTCGAGGAGCTCAATAACGCAAGTGTTTAGCGCGTTAGGCTACGATCGTTGAAGTTAAGCAACTTTCGTAGTAGGATGGGTGACCAAAAATGTACTATCTCGAGATCCTCCGCGCTTCGGAAGGCACGTTAAGCTGTTGATCCCGGCTGCACCTGCAGTCTTAGCACTCACCAATCTGCACTGGGCCCGCGTGGTAGGTCATGGCCCAAACTCCCTATTCCATCTATAGGGAAGGCCTGTGCCCCAGCAGTAGGTTCATTAACAGGCTAATGACGATGACTCGTGTTATAACATACCTGTACTCTTCACAGTCGTTGTCGATGGTGTAGGGGCCGAATAAGTCCCCGAGGCCCTGGGCGTGAGGCCCGCGGTCGCAGAAGGCGCATCGCCACGTGGCGTCGGGCGTAGTAGCGTCGTATCTAAGCCCCAAAGTGCTGGCGTGTAAACCGCGCGCGCGTAAACCGTTCCGGAACTCTTCGCCCGTTTTGCGACGCGTCGTGCTTGGGTCTTCTTCTTCCCCTGTTTGGGCGTTTATCACGCTCACAGATAGTGGTGAGTCGCGCGGGCCGCGGATCTGGAAGGCGGTAAAAAGCTTAAAATGACCATCATTGTTGTAATAAATTATTGAAAGTGTTTCTAACATATTGTGCTTTATTGGAATGCATCTGCATTTTAAAGAAAAAGGTTCAGACAATTTACATCAACAATTTGGGAAAACTTCACTCTGGCAAAATCTAGTATAAGCTTTTTCTTAAGCTAAATCATGCACATTCTAACAAAATTAAATGAATCATGAATAATTTGTGTTTGGTGACAAGCTACCAAGTTTTTAATTTAATGTCCCTGCTTTTAAAAGAAAAAGATTAAGACAATATAGTTAAATCAACAATTTAAAGAAAACTTCTATCTCATCTATACCCATATTCTAAGTGAAGAGTTTGTTTGTTTAGTTGAATGCGCTCGGGAACTACTGGTTCTATTTGAAAAAGTATTTTTGTTGGATAGTCCATTTATCGTTGACGGCTATATAGGCTATATAACATCATGCTGCGAGCAATAGGAGTGGTGCATTGGTGAAAAATGTTTCCAAAAAAGGGAAAAAAATATTTAAGAGCTCCCGTTGCGTGCGCTGCGTAAACAGTTAAATTTACACGAAGATGTATAACGGAATTGTTTCATTTTAAAAGTTCTATAAAAAGTGCATTACAGAAAATGTTCATGTTTTAAGTTCGACTCACTATAACGATTTTCCTCAAATTTTGTGGATGAAACCGCAGGGGACCTCTAGTTATTTATAATATTAATAAAAAAAGTGCCTCACCTGTATGTATGGTCCTCTGGATCGGCTCGAGCTGGCGTTACTTCCAGAATCGTAAGCGTCTTTAACAGGTGCGTCTCTCTTCTTGGCCTTGGTTTCTTTCTTCCTGGGATTCTTCCTGCGGGGCCCCTCGTCCGCAGTGGAAGCCCTGCTTGCCCTTCTCGCAGCCTTCCTATCACCTTTGGTTGGCGCCGATTTTCTCCGTTTCTTCGCCTTGGCCGTCTCCTGCTCGGGTTTCGTTTCGTCTGAAGGCTCTTGCTCCTCTATGCCGGCGAACATTTTCTCCAGCTGATTCTCGACTTCGACGAAGCTCGCAGCCGTCGGTTCGACGGTTGTGGGTTCGCTCGTTTCCGGTTCGGCGGGTTTCGCTTCCGAAGGCGATTCGATTGGGACGTTCGCTGTTTCCGAATTGGAAGTTCGGGCGCTTCGTCTGCGGGGTGCCGCCGCCGCTGCCGTTTCCACTACGGGGGGTTCCGGGAGCTCCTCGCTTCTTTCTTCGGCTCTGGGTTCAGGGCTTGCGAGTACGCTCTTCAAGTTGTCTACGGTAACCGGTTCTACGGGTTGAGGTGGGGCGGGGACCGGGGGATCGGCTCGATCGGTGCTGGCGATCATGGCGGCGATATCGTCTATGGTTTCGGCGGATCCGGATCGCGTTTTTCTTCTTGTCGGCGGCGGCGGCGGAGGCGGCGGCGTTTGTGGTTTCTCGGGGCCGTTGGACTTCGCGTGGAGGGTGTCGCCGTTTTCTATCGGTTTCGGTGATGGTGGGGTGGTAGTGGGTATTGGTGAGAGGTCGCGAGTAGGTTCGGGAGCTGTCGGGGCGGGTTCGGGTGTTTCCGGCGGCACCGGACAGGGGGCGGGCGCGGGGGTGGCGGTGACTGAGAGTGCGGGAGAGGGTGTGACGGCGGGTGAGGGGGAGGGCGCGAGGGGCGGGGCAGAGGGCACGCGGATGGTCCGCTCCGGTTTCCGTTTCCGTTTGGAGCCCGGCGGGGCGCCGCACGAGTCCGCCGAATCCTTGGAAGCAGACGATAGTGGAATTGATAAAATCTATTGTAAAATATACGGTACACTATTATGTAAACATTAAATTGGGATTGTACTTTAACCTTCTAGATTTTTTTTTTCTATATTTGTGAATCCTACATAAATGTGAACGATTAATAGTCAGAACAAATAAAGCCGCGGGCGGCTGAAGCCCGCGGCTTTATTTGTTACCAGCTATTTTTATTTCGTTTCTTTTGTTATGTTATTGTTATCGTAGGCTTTTTTCGAAATATATATTTATAAACAAAATACTGAAAAAATACTGTAATGTAATACAATCACTACTTTGTTGTTTGATAAATATTGCCGAAGCGACTATGCCCAACCGATTATGTGTTCAGTTACCCTGACGAAAAAAATATTATCTGGAGTTCCACCGTGCTTCGGAAGGCACGTAAGCCGTTGATCAATTTGATTTAACAAACACTAGAAAAAAATGACAGAACGACAAATTTCAATTACGTATTATTGTATGGGGTGAATCTAGATGTAGTTGAATTGAGATTTGCCAAAAATGCTGCAAGTGGATCTTAGTAAACAAGTAATGGCTAAGATAGAGCTGGCAAGATCGAATATTCTTCAAAGCTACTAAACAAATAAGACTAAATCAGTGTTTCCTAACCTTTTCAATACTGCTACCCCTGTAACCTATTAGGAAAACAGATTTTAACCAAATATATTATCAAAACAAACAATACAAGCTAATCATCATCAGGAAAAAATCTCGCCCCGCCTAGCCTAGCGAGACCGCGGGGTGCTGAGTGGGTACTCTCAGCACCTCTCGGTCTCGCTAGCAAGAAGGACCGCATACCACGTGCATTACTGTCAGGTGTACTGTATTTTTTAAATTTGACCAAATAATTTAGTTCTTTGTTACCCCCGAAGTATAGGTGATTTACCCCTAGGTTCGAAACCCAGGGACTAAATAAAAAAAAAACATTAATGACGGATCGCAACGTACCTCGTTGGACGAAGGCGGTGAGGGCGTGGGTGCCGCCCTCGGGTGCACTATCACTGACAGCGGCGACGCGGGCGCGGGCGCATGCGCTGACATCGTCGCAGCGGGCGCCGGCGCGGGTGCCAAACGCTCCAGTAGCGCGTCGACCCGCGCGTGCGGCGGACGTGCCGCGCGGGCTATGAGGCTGTTGATCGTGGGCGCGTCGCGGACTGACAGCGCGGGAGATGAAGGCGAGCCGTTCGCGCGACCGCTCAGCGATAGATCTACGCCCACGCGCGCGTACGCTAGTAGTTCTTCGGGCCGGACGTGTTTCTCTGAAAGGGGGAGGGCGACATAGAGCAAGCGCACATTGAGCCACTTAACGCGTCTGGAAGCTGCGGTCGATTTTTTTCATATACATATTTTGTATACTACCTATCTCTAGGTCCATAAACATCATAATTTTTTTCGCGGCTTGAGTTGCCTTTTTTCTTTTTTTGTAGTAAAATTTTAAAATGTATCTATTTATTACAGTTATAAGAAAAACAAATGAAAATCACACATTTTTCTTATTTGAATTATGAATTATGATGGTAAGCAGCCACCATTAGTTAGTTCTCCAGATCCAGCTCCAACTCAAATGGTAAATCCGCTATGGGCTTCTCTTCTTTTTGTTAAAGCTCGAAGGACCATATATGTAGTGTGTTACAAACATATTAATATTAATCAATGCCCTAAAGCGCTGTAAAAAAAGCTGTAAAAGACACGATTTTCCGTCGGCTCCAAGCACGGTTTCACACTATGTTTCCCTCAGGACTTGGGTAAGGTACTGCAGCACACTATGGAGGTTTGTTCAACACCGGCGCTAGCAACGGTTTGGAGTCGGTAAAAACGTACAAACTGTGCTCCTAAACAAGCTTAGCCTTACAACAATATTAAAGAAAATGAACGCGAGGTATTTGAAAACCTTCAGCAGTCAGAAATAACAAAATGAAATCATAAACTATAGAAATAGCAAAAGCAATCCCGATAGTTGGTAGGTCCCTTGGTCGACTTGTATGTACTTGTTGCGAAAAAACGTTGAACTGACGCTACGACGCCAGCGCTGCGTAAGCCCGGGGTTCGGCAGCCGGTTGACTTGCGCAGACGCAAGCGCATCGAATGCATCATATAAGGCAGAATAATAGTTATTTATGCAACTGTTGTACAATGATTGGTATTAAAATGGGAAAGTATAGGGCGTTCTAAGAACTTTAAATTTATGAAAACTTTTGGCGCTGCGGTAGTGACACGCGCGTGTATGAAAACGTTTTTTTTTTCATTTTAATTATAATATTGCTTTGAACCAAGAAAATTGTAGATGTCTTATAAGTAATCCCTTAGCGCGGAAGGGATTTAAAAAGCGAAAGTGTTATTATGTGATTTAATAAAAAAAATAGCACCCGTTTGGGTGTGACATTGGTTGTTTTAATGTTGGCAACAAGTTAACTATTTCGGAATCTTTAATAGATGATTATTTAAAGCATAGGTGTAGATAAAATAAATGAAAACATGCCTCAAGTTACAGGGACAGACTTATCAATAGTGTGTATTATGTGAGGGAGATGTTATAAAGCGTGTTTTACTGTACCTCTATTGTTAATGTAGTCATCGATCGTACCTCTGCCGGGCCCCAGGTGCGGGTACAGCTCGGCCTGCGGGAGGGGAGCCCCGCCTTTTACGTCGCCAGGCGATGGCGTGTGTCTGCGAGAAAACGTATTGATACAGGTCGCGGCACGTAACTCTAGCGCTGAACAAAACGCAGAGGGGACAGCTGCGCATGGTACATAGAGGTATAAGAATAGAGTAGGGGAGATATAGACTATAATACAAGTGGAAGTGTCCCTCTAATAGAAAGAGAAAGAAGATGAGAGACCGCTAGCTTTCCCTCTCTAATCGCGCATGCGCATTGGCAACTGTAAGCATCTTACTATTTCGATGTGATGCCATTGGATGCCATGCGTCACAAGAGAGAGAGATAGCTAGCGGTCTCTCATCTTCTTTCTCTTTTTACTAGACGGACACTTTTAGAGCCGCCTTCCCCACTCTATTCTTATACCTCTATGGCATGGATACGAATGGAGAGCTAATCAGCGCCACGCATGCCCACCCGCGCACCTCGTTTCCCCCCAACACATCTTAATTTTTTCTTCTGCGCAATAGTTTCGTGCCTCGACTTATAATTAATGATGTTAGAAAGTTTTAGATACGTCATCCACGCTTCTAATTTGGCAATACGAAAGTCGCGTAATTGTCAGACTTGCATTCAGTCGAGCACGCTCTCTCGCCGCGCCTACACTTTGCTACAACGTGTAAATATTTTACGTTTTTCCAGACAAAAAGCCCTATGTATGTTTTTAGATTGTACACAAAATACACGGGAACTATTAGAGACAAGAAAAACGTAGCATTTCATTCGTAAGTACAGTTTTAAAGAAATTAATGTAAAAATATTTAGTGATTTTTTTATTTTGACAGTTGCTGACACCGTCGACACATAGAGACTAAAGAGTGAGATGTAATCTGCTTTATGAATAAGAGTGAAAGAGACTACTTTAGTGTACTCTATTGGCGGCTGTTGCAACGCGAAATTGGGGCGGGGACTACTTGTACCATTTTAAAATGCAATAATGTTGGCGTATAAGTAACCTGTCTAATATTATACGTAATTGTTGATAACATGAATTACAAGGTACCACGTTTGAAGGAACAACTTATTATTTTTTATTGTTTATAAAGACTTGTAGTTAGTCGTATAATTTATCGAATGTGTAATTTCAGGGCGACAATTAAAATATCTATTCTTTCATCTTCTAATCTTCACATTTAAATAAAATATTTACAGGAATAATTTTAACTTGGTTGAAGTATTAGGCGAACATCAAACTAACGTCTTTCGCTATCCGGGCAAATGCATGACCACTATGCAAGCGAGACTTTAAAGGATTTACGCACTGGCCATGGATACGCGCACAGAATACAGAAAGAGGTTAGAAGGGCCTTTGTGAGTGGGGCAGGCGCGCCAGTTATGTGTGAGCAAATGCTCATAACTTGACCAAAACTTGGTACCGATTGTGTGCTTTCGGCGGTAAGTGCTGATTGGTTCGATTATTTGATGTCGCGTCGTTTGATTGGTTATTATCTATTAGGTTGAAGTGTAGTGGGGACGACGCGGCGACATCGGTACCCATACAAATGGTATAATGAATGACCTTTCTAACCGCTATCTGTGTTCTGTGTAAACGCGCGACCGTCGGCACGACGGGTTAGGCTGCAAGTCAGCACTATCTTTTTATATTGTAGGCAACTACAATGTCAAATGAACCAACCGCCTTTGCTGTACAGGCCAATGCTCTGACAGTTGTATTTAACATAGAGGTCAACACAGGTAGGTACGGCATTACCTACGGCAGTACGGTTTGCAGCCTGCCGCCCTGTTTTATGTTAGGGCAATGGTAATTTAAAGTAGGGCATTGCCCCATAGTGCTCAACCATAGCTACGGCCCTGGAGTAATCCCACTAAAGACTGCATATATAGGCACCCACTTGTGATAAGCTTATCCACCAATACTGCTAAAGCGTGTAACATGCTCCTAAGCGTCGCCAAAAATCGTTTCACCAATTTTTTATCCGACCGCGACGTCACAATAAGGTGTCCAATCAAAACGCGGATAACCCTCCCTGCATACTAACTCCTGAATGCGATTTTGATTGAAAAGAAAATTTAACAATGAGGTCTTTCTCAGATGGAGGATGAGAAAAATGACTCTAGTGGGGTTGCAGCGTCACAGAGCTTTTTTATATAATAGATTTGAGTGCGTTTCGTCGCAATCTAATGTTTAAAGCAACGATGAAGACTGCTTTTCGATTTTCGGGATATTTTGGGTTAGAACGCACCTCATCAAATGTTTGTCCGGCGGTGTGGGCGTGTGCCGGAACAGTTCCGGGGGCGTGGCGCTGTGCCGGAACACTGAGTTGCTGCCAACGCTCTTCATCGCCTGGAAACAGCACAAAGTTCAATAACTCTTATTGCAATATTAGTTGGATAAATATTCGCCAAAAATAAATTTACACGAAAATATCTACTCGGCCTTGGTCAGGCTGGAGCTTCGGATGAGTGGATTTTTTTCTAGTTAAATTTTTATGATTTTATTTATTTTTTAAGCATTTAACTGCTAGATGTTTAAATCTAAAGAAAAGTTTACTAGAAAAAAATCCACGCGGACCAGACAGCGGACGGGACGGGAAAAAGTATTCATTTCACATTGTGGGTTACCTACAATGCGAAGAGATGGCGCTGCCTTGCAGCTTAAGGCTAGGAAAATTTCGACGCGGCTAATAGGGCCGTGGTAGCATAATGGTCAGTGCATTCGCCCGGATAGCGAAGGATGCGGGTTCGGGTCCCGTCCGCTGCCTGGTCCGCGTGGTTTTTTTTTTTCTAGTAAACCTTTTTTTTAGATTAATATTAATTTAACCTAGCAGTTTAATACTAGATTAATATTAACTTAACCAAGCAGTTTCATGCTTATATAGAAATATAATAAAATAATCTCTAATTAATTAGAAAGGCCGAAAAAAAGCAAAAGATCAGGGTGATCATACAACGAAACAATGGAAAATATAATATTTATCTAAAGAATAGATTTAAACGTCAAGCAGTTACATGCTTTAAAAATAATAAAAATTATAACTATAATATTTATTTTAAATAATTATCAACTTAAATGTTACGCGACAGTTCAATGTTTACGGCTGTTACTTTAGGATACGAGTATTTTTATAGAAGCCAAAGATCAAATCACGTGACTCCACCGTGCGAGTCATGGCCAGTTAGTAGAATCTGATGCGAAAGACCAACTTGGCGTACCATCCATTTACACTTTGCGAGCTTGAATTCTTTTTCATAATTTATCTACCACGACGAATTAAGGCTTCTTTACTAACTAGGAAGAACATTGATGAGTGTTATATGAACTTCAAACAATTGTTTGTAGTCTCCCTGTAAAATGGAATATTAGCTGTGCATGAATTATCTAAAAGTAGCCGTGTCTCGCGGTGTTACCCGCGGTTTATTAGGGATATTTTCCCGCAGTAAACGTAGCCTATGTGTTAATCCAGGGTGTCAGCTAACTTCATACCAAATTTTATTAAAATCGCTCCAGCCGTTTAGACGTGAAGAAGTAACAAACATACACACTCACAAACTTTCGCCTATATAATATTACTGTGATAATAATCGTAAGGTATTGCTGTAGACGTTTTGTCTGAATTCATTTTATGAGAACAAAAATAATCAAGTATGAGATAATCTGATGGAGTCATCAATCATCACATAAAAATACTTTAAGATTGTTTGGTAGCAAAAAAATACATTCAAAGAAAGAAGCCCAAAGATGAAATTTTCCACTTTGATAACACAATTCATATTCTCAGACTAACTTTATTTAACAACAAGAATAAATTTGTAATGACACATTACTTATGTTATTATTATTATATTATCTATGGTATAATTATCTCTTACATAACAGAGTTTATAAATACTCAATGAATTTTAAACGTTACCACAGTTATCGCTTTTTGTGGTATTAAAATTTTTAAACGAAAAATTAAAACCGACTTCAAAATCGAAAATGGAACTGAAAAGTAAAAAATAATATCTGGTTCATGATTTGAAAGTCGGGCGGGGTCAAGATTGAAGCATTAAATAGATTTTCGTTTCTAATCGGTAATAATACATCTTTAAGGCCCATATTACAAAATGACACTTCTTTACTTGAGTACAGTTAGAAAGAGATGTCGCTATGTGCTATATATAGCGACATCCCTTTCTAAGTATGCTCAAGACTAGATCAATCACTGAGAATCTTTCTATAATACGGGCCTCAATCTTGAGGTCGGTTATAAATAGTTCTATGCTACCAGGTTTTACAAACCAAGCATTTCAATTACTTAAACAAAAAAGTAATTTGTCTGTGTACATGAAATAGCTCTCAGGCATCAAACTCGATGGACAGGCAAATATACACAGGGATTAGTAAATTATGGTTCTGGACTTTTGGAAAACAAAGAAATTGCAACAGAATCATATGTGGTTATTTTAGTATGCTAAATGGCTCAATTACATATGGTCGTTAGCACGTATTCGGGTGCATGAAAGACATTAATCGAATTCGGGTAACCGAAGCAATATTTACTCGTATTCGGGCTAACGACCAAGTGTAAAACTCTTGTGGCATACTTCTTTGTAAAAGGTGTCAGGTGTGCATATATTCTGACGATGCAGACCTGAAAAGGCTGCGAAACGTCAATAAATAAATAAAGTTTTGTGCATTAACCCGTTAAAACTAGTTTTATTTAATCAGAGACGAGGGCTACACTAATTATGGATGTTTAAGACCTGGTTACGCAGCAGGCGTTGTGCAACTTGCTTTAGGTTTGAATAGTTGGGTGGCGTAATTAGCCTTGCCTCGGAAAAAAAGAAATGACATCGACGAAATCGGCCCTAGCATGCCCAAAAGAATGTCCTTCACTATTATTTTTATATTATTTTTTTAACTTATTAGCAATTAATCATTGTAAACGGACAATCTGTTTAAGAAAATAAAAAATAAAAGTTCTGTTACTAGATACTACAGTCTGTTCATGCAACTTGGCACTCCTTTTTATTGAAAATACAGCATTAAAAATCAACTGATAACTAGATTCAATAGGTTTCAGTCTATAATAACGATTTATTTTAATAGTTTATTGGCTTCGTTAATTTTTTATTATTAAACGGGTGATTCTGTTAAAAAGTTGTGCCAAGATTGTTTACCTTAATAAATGCAATATAGGCGACCATAGGTATTTATCAACATAAAAAAAGGTAAATTTAAAAAATCAAAAAACCCGACTGCTTAATTATACTTCAAATAAAAACTGAAAAGAAAAAAACAAGTCCAGTAGTCTATAATTCTGTTAATAAGGAACAAAGCTACTTTAACAGTCGGGACCCATTAGATATTCAAGAATACATAATATTTTTCAACAGTGGGTCCCGACTGTTAAAGTAGCTTTGTTCCTTATTAACAGAATTATAGACTACTGGACTTGTTTTTTTCTTTTCAGTTTTTATTTGAAGTATAATTAAGCAGTCGGGTTTTTTGATTTTTTAAATTTACCTTTTTTATTTCACACTTTTTAGTTAGTTAGTATTTTAAGACGGTATATACCGTAGTCTTGTTACTTCAGTAAGGGAATTAATATCGCGGGAATTATTAAGTACCTTAAGACAGTCTAAAAATGAATCTAATGATACCGCATACATATTTTTTTAAAGGGAAATTTAGAAAAAATATTATTATGTCTTTATCCCGTGGGACTTTTAGGATAAAATGTATCCTATGACACTCCCGTAATCAAGACAAATCTAACGATACCTCATACATCAAAATCCATCAAGCCGTTTAGGCTACAGGAGGTCACAAAGGAACAGACATACATACATACTTACATACACTCCCTAAACATTACCCTCCCTCTTTGGCAGTCGGGTAAAAATAGAACTAGGTACCTTAGTCAATAATAGTTATTACTAGTATTTATATTATATATTTATAAAAAGATTATTTCTGAAATTATGTAAATATAGTTTATACTCCCATCCCACGTAATATCTGTTTATTTTTATGAAAATCATATTGATAACCAGGTACATACCTAATTACCGATAGTAAAATATAGAAACAGGTAAATGGAAAGACTGAACATTTCATTTGAAAAGAAATCTATTATTACCTACTACAGGTAGGTATAGGTATCATAGGTGCCAACTGACAACACTCATAAATCAATATGAATATTAGCATTTATTATTTTTATTATTAATTGCATTTTATGTTCATTTAATGCATATTATTTCAGTGCTTACATAGAGGTAAAAACTAAATCTATTCAGAATATATAAAGTGACATCTTTTACGATTAAGTATATTAATTATAACCTCAAAATCTAATACATTCTGTAGTAGGCCACGGTTTCTCATGTTGTCCGTATCTCAGCAAATGCTTAATTAGAGTTTATGAATGATTCCGAACACAACTAGCATTTTCTCATTGCTGGGCGTTATAGGGCATTCAATGTATGGGGAACGAGCAATGTCCTTTGGCTCGATCTTAAAAATGCGACAGAACTTTAGTTTAGAGAATGTGAACAAGTTTTAGTGAACGATCTCATGTTATTGACTAATGTTTATGGAGTCCGTAAAAAGTTCTTCTGTGTTATAGTTATTCTGTTGTGTATTTAAGTAAAAATAACCAAATCAAAAACTCCATTTTCAAGTTGCCGCGAAAACGTTTTTGACAATATGGCGTCTTACTAGTGTGTGACGTCACACGACTGATATTAAAACGTCAAACGATACAATGTAATGTCACTTTAACCGGAAGTTTACTTGCGTGTGACGTCATTTTAGGCTCCGCCAATCCTAAGCGTATTGGGCCACGTGACAATAGATAAGAAAACTATTATCGTTTCCGTTAAGTTTTTAGTAAAATTATGAATTTTTTTTTTGTAACAATAGTAAAAACCCCTGTTAATATTCATTCTAAACACAGATGCTAACAATTGGCACTTTATTTTTAACACTGTCAAATACCCTATTGTCCGATTCCAATCAGCCGCATTTCAATAATAGTGTGTCACTATAAACGGAAATATCGTACTTTTGCATTTTATAATAATAATATAGTGCGTGCAATGCAAAGGTCGTTATGTGACGCAAGTCTGTTAAACTTAAGCAAGGTCGTTTCACGTCAGTTCTGTGGAGATAACACTTCAGTACGCTAAGGTCTCCCTATATATAAGTCTATGTTTATAAAGATTTTATTTAAAGCATCTTATAGTGTGGCTCAAGGAAAAAAAACCGGACAAATGCAAGTCGGATTCGCTCACCGAGGGTTCCGTACTTTGTATGTACGCGAAATAAACTTCCGTAGCTTTGTTGCGTTTACTTAGAAGTTTGATTTTGTCACAGCTTCACTTCATAAGCGATGGCTGGTTCATGCGTCATGCTCGTGAACGGGTGCTGCCAGCGGGGATGAGTCTGCTCTATACTGCGTTACTCTAGAGATGTTATCTATTATACCTAACATGTATTATGTTAATTTAGAAGTTTGATTTTGTCAAAGCTTCACATTAAAAGCGATGGCTGGTTCAAGCGTCATGCTCGTGAACGGGTGCTGCCAGATGGGATGAGTCTGCTCCATACTGGGTTACTCTAGAGATGTTATCTATTATACCTATTATGTATTACGTTAACTTAGAAGTTTGATTTTGTCATAGCTTCACTTCATAAGCGATGGCTGGTTCAAGCATCATGTTCGTGAACGGGTGCTGCCAGCTGGGATGAGTTTGCTCCATACTGGGTTACTCTAGAGATGTTATCTATTATACCAAATATGTACTGCTTGTATGTATATCGTATTGTATTTATACCGTATGACACAGCAATCAAAATGTGAGTGGGCGTTGTATTGGTAGCGACATGTTTTTTTTTGTAAATGTTGTTACTTCTGTTAAATGCTGATGAGTTTCTTGCGCCCATTCTTCTTAACAGCTAAAAGATGCCCTGAATGTATCGGACGATTCAAAAGAGCTTTCATCATCATCATCAACCCATGTTCGTCTACTGCTGGACATAGGTCTCCCCTACTGCTCCCGATTTTGTACTGTGATGAGAATCCAGCCCACTCCAGCCAGCCTACGAATATCATCATCCTATCTTGTCTAAGGGCGTCCTACACTACGTTTACAAAGTCGTGGTCTCCACTCAACAACTTTCCGGCTCCAACGGCCATCAGTTCTGCGGCTAATGTAACCAGCCCACTGCCACTTCAGTTTGCTAATTCGGTTAATTAAGAGCTTTAAATAAGTAAATTTGAATAAAGTATAATTTAATTTCATAGGACCGTGGACTTGAATTTTATGGTTTAAATTTTAACTCGTTACCTTCACGCGTTCCCAAATAAAGGTCCTGTCTTGACAGACATACAGACGGACAACAAAGTGATCCTATAACAGATTTGCCGGGTTTTTTTTTGCCAAGTCGGGATTTGGACCTTATTGAATGAAAAAAGCGGGATTCTTTCGTCGAAATACTAGTAGTAAAATATATAAGAAAAATTATTTCAAAAAAATATATTTTAAATCAGATTTACCGTATCGTTAAACAGTTGTCTTATTCGTCTTCTGAATGAAAAAAGAACCAATTAAAATAGTTTTTCATTATTTTGATTTCCGAAAAGCGGGATTGAGCCTGTCCCGCGCGGGAATTTTGATTTAAAAATCGGGACGTCTGGCAACGCTGTCCTATATAAGGTCCTGTACGTGCGGCTTGTGTGGGGCTGGCAAGGGTTTCGTGAATGTTTTGTGTACCCCTCTCTGTACTGTACCCCTAACACGAACCATTATCGAATTCGAATAGTTTGCAAACCGAAATGTTAATGTCAAATACTGTATGGAAACTTGAAGAGCAGCGGTACAAAGTACGTAACGAGAACAAAAAATCAGTACACATTTGACAATGACATTTTGGACTCGATTCCGAAACGATACGAATTCGATATTGGTTCGTGCTAGGGGTACTTAATTGATGTATTAATGTCCTCGCTGCTGGGGCACAGGCCTTCCCTATGGATGGAATAGGGACATTGGGCCATGACCCACCGCGCCGGCCCAGTGCGAATTGGTGGGTGCTAATGACTGTAGACGCAGCCGGGACCAACGGGTTAACGTGCCTTCCGAACCGGAGCGAAACGGAGGAGTTCGAGATAGTAAAATTTTTGGTCACCCATCCTATGACCGACCACTGCGAAAGTTGCTTAACTTTAACGATCGCAGTCGAACGCGTTAACCACTTGAGCCATCGAGCTCCTCTCTCGCTCTATATTATATTACTACAGACCTATAGATTCCTTAATTTCAAATTGTTGCTGTACATGGAAATGAGTCAACAATACAAATAGACCCGCCCGCGATTACCCGTCAATGCTTCTCCATTAATACATTAATGTAAATATAATTTCTACGCACATGGATCAACGGATGTGTATCCATTTGTGTCCGTCCGTTGGTGTGTACCAACGGACTTCCACAGATAAAAACCGGCTAAGTGTGAATCGGACTAGCGCACCGAGGGTTCCGTACAAACTTGTAGGTAGATATGTAAAAGTTCACCCATCGCGACAATCGAGTCATAGTTATGGTATTATTATTGCAAAATGAAATTTATAACATTATAATATGGAAAGCTGGAGGAGCATAAATTAATGACAAAGTTATTAAGGTTTAAGGCTTAAAAATTTCTTAAAATTGACTTCATAGATGTAAACCACACAAAATGTAACTACCGTCAACGATTTTTTTTCCAAAATCTAGATGTTTTAAAGACCCAAATGATTGTTATAGCATCTACTAATAGTGTTCACATATAAGTTTCAGCACTCTGGTATTTTAATTAGATCAATGAATCAGCTGTTGTCATTGAACTATTAGTCGGGAATAATAGCATGACTCAATTATCTTTTAGTGCTTAGCGGCCAAGGGGCAAAGGGCATTTGAAAAACATTTGCCTATTTAGATTTTTCTAACCGCTAGATGTTTAAATCTAAAGAAATTTTTAGTAGAAATAATTGCACTCAGTCAGTTTTCGAACCCACATCTTCTGCTATATATTAAAGAAAAAAAAAAAAATAGTGCGTCCGCCCGGATAGTGGAAGATAGTCATTTTTCATTAATTTGTTTTATCCTACGCCTAAGTATTTTTTTTAATATGGCTACGTTTGTCCCTTCAAAAAATGTGAGTAGAGTAATTGTAGCTCCTATGGTATTATTTCATTTTTAACATTTTATATGAGACTATTAATTTTATTATGGTAGTGCCTGATAATATCAGTTTCTACTCGTATTATATGGTTATCCAAAGTTTATTAACTTTCTATCAATTTAAACTTGTCTATGGTATCATTAATACATGTGTCACATAAACAATTGATTGTATTTGGTAAATTGTATTAATAATGTAAAGTCAGAAGTTTGACATAAAATTTTAGTAGGTACAATTGCCCCGGGTGACCTGTACCCTTAGTACGAGTTTGAGCTCACGAAAACTATCATAGTTTTCGAATTGTAAATTATGTTTCTATGTCCATTTTGGTGAAAAGTAATCAAATAATCTTAAAATTTAAGAAGACGCAAATGATTTAATGATAGAATTTAAACACTGTTTCTTTGTATTGAAACGAAAACAATAAAATCAGTACCCTAAGTATGAGTGTGAGCTCACGAAAACTATCATAATTTTCGTAATTGTAAAACTTGTACTAAGGGTACTTATTTTTTTTTCTTAACAATTAATAGAAATATTTTTAATTCAAGACTTATTATTGCATAATATCAATTAAATGTACTTTAATAAAATCAAGAAATTCTATTTACTTGATTTAAATTAAAATGATCTTAGAGTAACTACAAATTACTTAGATTGAGATATTTTACTTTAAAAAAGTATGCTTACTTTACTTAACTTACAAGGGATAAGTAAACATTATTCTTCGTATGAAGAATACATTCACTTGGCTGTACAAATACATGGTGTCTTGACTAAAGTAACTCTTGGATTAAATGTATTATTCTTGTAACAAGTATATTTTTTTTAAATATTTTATACTATTACGAAGGAAATATTACTAGCATATAGAGGGAGAGAATCATTTTCTTGGATTCAATAAATATGTCCTAATTCGAAGCTACCAATATGTCTTTATTTAAAAAATCAATTTTTAACATGTGCTACGCCCATGCTCCGATTAGAGCTTTTTTGCCTAGATATTTGAATTATTAAAACTATAATACCAATCGATGCTAAAACACGGAAACAAAATATTCTTACTTTAAACTGGGCGTTAACAAAAGGTTGGTTATATCTTTAGAGCGTCCAGGGGCAAAGCCGCCGGCAAATGGTAGGGGTAGACGATAAGCTATTTGAAGTGCCAGCATAATAGAAATTTGCAAGTATATACCTGTAGCGGGTCCGTAGGCAAACGCGCGGACGAATAGCTATGACCAAGAGTGGGACTAGACCCCTCTTGCCCAGTGGGCACTTTGGGCAAGTGCCCAGGGCCCCACTCAGATCAAATATAAAGTCCCTAGTTCCTGTCAGATCACAAAACGGTAACTAATATTTATTGCCAAAAAACTTACATAATTCGATGAAATCGAACCTAAATTACTGACTACAATACCAACTTACCAGCTTTTACATAAGCGAAGCTATTTTACTCTCGCCCAAAAATTAGGCTTTCCGACTAGAGCATGCTTAGATAAATTTAAATATACATATAATGGTATACTAAGCACACACATAGTTATCAAGAAAAATCATCAGTAGTACACTCATCAGTATGACTCGCTCCATTTCAAGTCATAATCTACATCAAAGTCATAGGGGCCCCATTATTCTAGTATGCCCAGGGCCTCCATTAGGTTAAAGACGGCCCTGAGTGGGACAGTGTAACGCTGTATTATACGCGGCCATTTGACGTCTAATTACAGCAGTTTAAGAGGGCGGCATATGTAACTAATAAAATCACGTCAAAGCAGACCGTAGACAAATAAGAAAGGGCAGAAATATTCCTCATGTTACACTGTCCCCCACTTGACTCCATTAAAGTGTCAGCTAAATAGAAAGTAGCTAATATGTATCTGTAGCGGGTCCGGGGGCGAAGCGACATATGCCTCTCCCACTTTGTGCCACAACCTCCGCCTTCCGCATCCAATCCACGCAGTCGTCCTCTCCAACTCATCGGTCCATCTAGCTCGTTGGCGCCTTACACAATGCTTACCGGTCCGCTCTTCTCCACTCAAGAAGTCATCGGCTCCAACGGCCATCGGTCCTCTGTCCATTGATAAATGTCCCATTGAAGAGAAGATTTTGCAGTTTTCCGAATGCTGCCCAACCCAGTCGAATCCTCTTATCGGCTTCTTTCTCGCAGTTGTGTCTACCGAGCTAGCATAATAGAAAGTAGCAAATATGTACCTGTAGCGGGTCCGGGGGCGAAGGCGCCGGCACATGGTAGAGGTGGGGCGGCGGCGTGGGCGTGTGCCACGTGACGCCCCGGTCGGCGGGCAGGTGCACCTGCGGCGCGCGCGCGAGGAAGTTCGCCACCTGTAACTGATGCGTGCGCTGTTTAATGAGGATATAGTGCGATGCGGTAGATCGACAACAAGATGGCTTGACCGAATTAAAGCTATAACAGCCTGCCTAACTTTTTTGACATTTACAGTGTGACACCATCACCAGCCTATTAATGTCCCCACTGCTGGGGCACAGGCGTTCCTTGTGGATGAAATAGGGAGATTAGGCCATGACCCCCCACGCGGGCCCAGTGCGGATTGGTGGGTGATAACGACTACACATGCAACCGGGACCAACTGCTTAACGTGCCTTCCGAAGCACGCAGGAGGTCGAGATAGTAAATTTTTGGTCACCCATCCATTGACCGACCACTGCGAAAGTTTCTTAACTTCAACGACCGCAGCCGAACGCGCTAACCTCTTGCGCCTCGAGATCCTCGAGTTAGTGTGTAAATAAAGAGAAAATTACATATCCATCAATGCTTTTCAGAACTAGTATCTTAGTGGCGTTTTAATAGAGCAGAAATGGATTACTAAATAGCTCGGTGACTAACACTTCCATCTGTCAAAAGCAGTTCGCGAATAGTTAGAAGGAGTCACGGCGTCGCTTTGTGCGGCGGGTCACCGCCACTGAATCCACCGATTTCGCTGAAGTAACGGCCACGACCGCTCTGCCAAAGTACGATGCAAACTTTTTGGCGATCGTGAAGTTAGCAGCAAGCGCAATTATGCGCAGGTTTCAATTCAGTGACAAAATGCGCAAGGCTGCATCATCCTACTTTTTGTTTACTGCCGCCACTAAGGACTTGAGCACATGTACAGTACAGTTGTGCAGATATACATTGACAGCAAAAGATAAAACAGATAGCTTACTGCATTGCCCATTCTCTCTATGTGATTCTGTACATAGAAGGTGCATGTGTCCTGATTTCCTAACATGAAGGCTGATGATGACATGATTCACAGCTGAATTCAGTAAATATATTGTACTGCACACTTGATGCTTACACAAGCAGTGTTGCACATATTGCTATGTTATAGACCCCAATGTGGTCTTAACTGTGTAGATAAGAGAGCAGGGCATTAATAACAAATTTTTCTTTATCAAAGATACTTAAGTTATAATCATAAAAGAATCAATCCAGTAAATGTGTATCTGATATAAAAATAAATTGACCAAAATACAAACTGACTTGGCAACTGTTCTAAAGGATATTTGTAACATCATTATTTCTCTACTAAAACTGTTTTTATTCAAAAACCTTGGATTAAAGCTCTGTGCATACCACTGGCAGGCAAGTATTGTAAATATAAGTAAATCAATGTTTGTCCTAGTCACTATTCGTAAGTGGAATTCTTTGCCTGTGCACATGTTCCCACTTTTCTACAATCTGGGGTTCTTTGAAAGAGGCATGAAAAAGCATTTCTGCAGGCTGGCAAGATGAAGATTGTTGGTGTGGCAGTAAATAACTGCTGTACCAGCTATTTTCGCGTCAGGACTTGACCCCCATTTATCATCAGGTGGGTGGGGTACAGTCATTTGCATAGCTAGCTTAAAAAAATCTATCCACAAGAAAAACTGTGCCCATAAAAGCTTGATGATGATGATCCAGATATATAATAAAAACCTTGTCACAGCTATAAGAAGTATAATATTTATATATCTAATTATTTATTCCCCAAAGTATTACGTAAACCATAATACATTATTGTTATAGAAGATATTCAAGTAATAAACTATCATGGTATATGAATATTATATTTTAAATAATAATTCATTTAACACAATACCTTGACCTGACTTGCATAAATGTTCAAAAGTACAAAGCATTGTTTTTATTCATTCACATATAACCACAATACTCATAAATAATGCATATACAATACCTTAAGTATAATGAAGCAAGTGTACAAAAACTCGATTTTGTGAAATCACTTCTGTTTTTTTATAGAGGTAGACAAATGATTCTAACCCACCTGATGTTAAGTGGTAGTAAAGTCCAAACGCGAATATAGCTGGTACAGCAATTATAAACTGCTACACCAATCATCCTCACCTTGCTGGCCTGCAAAAATGCTTCTTCACACCTCTTCTAAAGGACCCCGGATTATAGGAAGGAGGGAACACTTGCGCGGGTAAAGAATTCCAAAGTATATATTCTTCAAAGTATACTAAAGAACAAATAGTTTTATGAACCAATGAAAATTTGATTTGTCATAAGAATTATACATAACTTTCAATGAAGTCATCAAAAAATTAAGACACACTGGATTTTCTGCTTGGAGTGCCTGTCTCCAGAAATAACCCTACCTAACAGAAACTGGGAGACAAATAATTAGTGTTTAGCATTGTGGTTGTTGAGATATAGCTTCACTGTCACATGTGTTCAGGGTAGGCAATATACAAGTGAACTCCCAATAATGTTTAAAGGGTCATTCATTTCACATGTGACCTTTTCCAGTTTTTTAAAGTTGTAAATATTTTCTTAATAGCTTAAATTAATGATAAGATGCCAAAACATCAGAATTTGATAGAAAATACATGTTTTCCTTCAGGATCACTGCTTAATTATCTTTTATATGTATGTGACCTGTAACACCGATTATATCGGATGACCCAAAAGGTTATGGACTGTAACTTTTTGTCACATGTACCATATGCAAGTTTGTTCCCCTTTTTACTTAGAAAACTGCATTTTTTTCTTGGAAGACATAGTGTACCATACTCATCCCTAAAACTACATTAAGAAAAACATGCACAATATGGTGTATATAAAAGATATAACATTTACAGCATGCATTCAAAAACTTATCACAAAACAGATGTTCAGTTATTCATTGTATTTAAAAATAGGTTAACAAATATGCAATGTAGGTATTTGTCTAGATGAGAGATAACACAATATACTTTTTTTTGAGATAAGAATTTGTTAAAAGCGCAGTCAAACAATAAAATTTGACTCAAACTAAAGTAATGAATGCTCACACTAAATAGGCACTTGTCGAGTTGCGGAAAAGACCCACCTTGTTGAAGAAGTAATGAATGGATACAAACTTTTCCATTCATATAAGAAAAACAAGATGCAAAATGGAAAGTTTTGACGTTAAACAAAGTACATTCCGTATTTAAACTTTTTAAGATATTTCTTTAAATTTTGCCACTCTCTAGAAATGTGGAAAACTTCAAGTCACATAAGCTTTAGTTTCTGAAGTATTACCGACTACAATCTATTAATGCATATTACATTATGCTAAAATTAAAAAAATTGAGGTGAAAATTGTACAGTTAAATGTGTTTCATACCTACTTTCTCAACAGAAATAGCTTGAAGCAATAAGCAACTTTTGAAAACTTACTAATGGAACAATCTGTTAAAGGCCCAATGTTATGAACAACAAAAACTTTTTTTCCTTGATGAACTTTTACAAAGAGTGAGAAATTTTCATATCACTCAAGGAATATTTAAAAAAGCTACTCCAATTAATAAATAATAATCTAGATTCAGACACTTCAATATTGGTTAGAATCACTTATTTCTTTCAGCAATATGCTTGTTGTCAATTCAAACAGCTGATTTGCTTGCATCACACTGTCACTCACACATTCATATTGGCAACTATTACAAATGTGCACAAAGGAAATGTTTGTGTTCCATACATTGACATTATTACTGTTTTACCTTTTTATTGATCTGTATTTGTGTCAAACTTATTTCTTTGGTTCAAAATTGGGGCAAACTTTAATTATGCCATGAAAACAAAAATAAAACTAGAAAAATAAGCACCACCTGCAGGGGGCTCCAACCGGGGCCCAATTGAGATTGCCGTCCGTTGGGGTTGTGCTGCGAGCCACCAGACATCGTGCGCGGAGTCGTCGCGACAATGTTTACAACACGTACTCAACACAAAATCGTCAACAAACACTCTCTCAGTCCACCATAATGATGCCGGCAACTTAGAAGCCTTCGCCCGCGTAACTGCGCTCCTTTACGACGTGTACAGAAACTTCTGAAACGTTTTCATGTGTGCCCATTAAAATTCTTAGTATCCACTGCATACCACGAGTATTTCTATTAAGGGACACTTTTATTTCACTGTCATTTAGAACTCAGTTCAAAGAAAACTAGAATTATTTGGTGCATGGTATGGTGTTCTCGAATCTGATGCTCGCTTCGCGTGACATTTTGAACGCATTTACGTTTTGAATTTAACCACTATTACAGCTTAAAATGTTCTGATTTAGATTTACCGAATACTTGTCACTGTACCTTTTTAAAGAAAATGCTATATTTCACCGTAAAGTATCACAAAAAAGGAAAAAATCATCAAACTATTGGGTAAAATCGCCTTCAACAATGGTGGCCGATTGGGATTTTGAAAGCACATACAGTGCCATCTTGTGACAAAACTTAAAAGCATGTCGGTAAAACAGTTCAACGGAAGTAAGTTGTCTATGGATGACGCAATTTTTGCATCATATTTTAATAAAATTATTCTTGAAATATGAACGAAAATTTTAAAATATCTTCTTTAAAAATAAGAATTAAATAACCTCAACTTTAATATTACTAAAAACCACAGACAAATTGAATTTTTATGGTTGGTATAGCAACATCTGTTGCTATAGGAACCATTGTTTTGTTTGTATTGCTGTCAATGCTAGGGATGTGGTTGCGTTTATGTTATTGTGTACAGCGTATTAAAAAAATTTTTTTCAATGAAAGACAACGAAGTTACTAAGTTTTTGGTGTCGTTTAGTGGCCAGATAGAGTACACTGTTTTCCCAGGCGGCGTATTTGATGAGCGGTTGTATGTACAGTACGATACAGTTTGGGGTCCGGATTGGAGTCCACTGTCCGGTATCACATCAGGGACTACCCAAATGGCGTGTTCGGGGAGCGACCCTGAGCGGGTGGTGTTCAATATGCCTATCGAAATGGTTTTTAGCAGTACTTATGCATTTGGGTGTAAGTGTCAGTTTTAGTTAGCCTACTTTAAAATAATAGTCCTCCTGAAGTACACATTTAACCTCTCCAAGCAAAAACGTGGAAGTGCGGTATCCTATTTTGAATTTCTGCAATAAATTTAGCATTTGTAATAATAATAATAGAATTAATGATTTAAAAGCAAACAATTACTAATTTTCAAAATTAATATTATTTTGTTTCTTTCCCCCTACTCCAACAATTTCTATACCAAATTTTATCTTAATCAGTTCAGCAGTAGAGGTGTAAAGAGGTTACAGATAGACAGATACACATTCGCATTTTATCATATAAGTATGGGTAATATTGTTTGAATGTAATTGATATTCTTTGAGGAGTTCGATGGCGCGGCGTGGGTAGTTAGCGCGATCGGCTGCGATCGTTGAAGTTAAGCAACTTTCGCAGTGGTCGGTCATTGGATGGGTGACCAAAAATCTTCTATCTCGAGTTCTTCCGTGCTTCGGAAGGCACGTTAAGCTACTGCGTTGGTCCCGGCTGCATCTGCAGTCGTTAGCACCCACCAATCCGCACTGGGCCCGTGTGGCCCAATCTCCCTATTCCATCCATTGGGAAGGCTTTTGCAAATTAATAGACTGATGATGATTTCTTTTTTCATTTTTTTTTTCATTTATTGGGAATAGTTATCAACTACACATTTACAATATGTAAAATAGTATTACTGTTAATGTTAATAAAAAACATGTAGTCAAATACACTGTCCACAGCTTACTCAATAAGTCTTTACAATTTATAGTGAGATGCTAAGCAACAACAGATTAACTAGGCAGTAATAATCATTTATGATGATGATGATGATATTGTTTGATGATGCAGGGCCGCAGTTGGTCATCACGGTGCGAGCGCAAAATTCCATTGGCGGTGACTCCCTCCGTGGGTACGCGTTAGTACTACTGCCCCCAACCGTCGGCACCAGACACGTGACGTCACCTCTAGTGCGGCCGAAATCAGCCACATTGCTAGGCGAGTGGCTCTCCTGGATCACTGGACGGTACCCGGAATTGGCTGACCCAAAGATGCTGGCCAGTGGCAAGGAAAACTATTGTAAGTTCTTTTTTAATAATAATAAATAATAAATAAATAATAAATATTTCCGACACTCACACCAATTAGCCTAGCCCCAAAGTAAGCACTATAAGGCTTGTGTTATGGGATGCTAGGGTAACGGATAGAATACATATACTGTACATATATAAGTATATTTATATAAATACATATTAAACATCCATGACTGGAGTACAAATGCACGTATTCATCACACAAACATCTGCCCCCACCGGGATTCGAACCCGGGACCTCTCGAGTCGGCGACAGCCATGAAACCCGGCGTACAAACCACTCGGCCACGGAGGTCGTCTAATCTTTTTGAAGTGAAAACTTCTTTAGCGGCGTTGTACACGTGACCACGTGACCTAATGGAAAATTCGTAAGACGAAAACACTAAAATTGGAAAGGTTGTTTACTTTCAATATATTGGACGAAACATAATAATATTTAATTTTATCGTATTATAATAATCATCATCAGCCTAATAATGTCCCCATTGCTGGGGCCTTCCCTATGTATGGAATAGGGAGATTGGGCCATGACATGACCCACCACGCGGGCCCAGTGCGGATTGGTGGGTGCTAACGACTGCGGATGCAGCCGGGACCAACGGCTTAACGTGCCCTCCGAAGCACGGAGGAGCTCGACATAGTAATTTTTGGTCACCCATCCAATGACCGACCACTGCGAAAGTTGCTTAAGTTCAACGATCGCAGCAGAACGCGCTAACCACTTGGGCCATCGAGCTCCTCTAGTTATAATAATAAGTCTCTAATTTGGACGTCCAGGTGGCAGCTTTATTGCGAAGAAAATGCATTTTTTACAATAGATGTCGCTAGATGCGCTTAAATGTGATTCATGTAAGTTGATATTTCTGAAATATAAACTTTTTAATGTAATATAAAGTGTCATGTTTGTGTACGATAGCGCAATAAATAAATGTTGTATTCTACCACTTAAATGATAATACTTGTATTCTGATAATTAAAGCAATTCGTGTAAAATTATTCCCCAACCATTCCAAAATATCAAAAATGCACAACGTTAATAAATTCAAGTTTTCACTTCTGCCGGCACTCCCGGAGTGCAACCCGTCGTTTTTTTTTTTATTTTAAGAGTTTAGCAAACGACCGTATGAACCCGCCTGATGGTAAGCGGCCACCATAGCTTAGACGGTTGCGAAACAAAACACATCACTCACACCGTTGCCTACCCTAAACCAATCCCCTACTCCGTGGAACCCTGGAAATTTACCACCCACAGAAACAACAACACCACCAAAAGGTAAAGGTTACTTCTTCAGACGGGCGGGGCGCTCCAATTCGAGCTGAAAATCCGCTATGCTCTAAATTTCTGTTTATTTCTAGGTTTTTGTTGTAAATGAACATATACGCTTCATCGTACAGATCAAACTGTAGCCTAAGAGCATTGTAAATTCTTTCAGATTAAAGGTGATTTTGTAATGTTTATGGCCGCATCTCAACAATGTCATTGGTGTCGATTCTCACATGATTCTCTAAATTTAAGCTTTAATTTGTCAACAGTGTATCCTGGTCATCTTTGAATTTTTGTGATTTATTGACAAAAGAAAAAATAAGTGACCATTATTTTTTGTTAATCTAACTGACGGACTAAATAGAACTTCGTTTACTTTGTATTTTACATGAGTAATCTATATTATCTATTCCAATTCATTGTCGTCATTGCACAGCGTCATTGCTACTTCGGCAAGAGTGCGTAGAAGGTTACGCATAATAATTAGTGTGCACTATGGTCTATTAATTTATTGTTTAGATCGTGAGCTTTTTGCTCGCATTTCTTTTGCGTTAGATGACGAGACGATCGCAATAAAACAACAATTATGATGGTGGCGTGAGGCTAATCGTTCGCAAAGATGTCAATGCCCCGTTCTAGGTCGTCTCTTGTTCTAGATTAAGTAATAACTAGTCTAATTACTTACGCACACGTCGCATTTTCCAGTCGGAATCAGTGAACCGTTAAGCTTTGGTGCTTTCTTAAACTAATATTTATGAGTGGCCCCGGGACTTGGACGGCGTTAATTTTTTTTGAGAATACCGCCGCAGGAACCTAACATTTTCCGGTATAAAAAGTATCCTATGTCTTAACCCAGGTCATAAACTCTTTGCGTTGGTTCCAAAATTCATCCGAATCCGTTAAGTGGTTTTTTCATTTTGTCCACCAATGCTCTGCCCGCTTACGTGTTCCCTCCCTCTTAAAACCTGGAATTCTTTAAAAGAGGGTGAAGGAGCAACATGCAGGCCGGCAGGGTGAGGATGGCTGGTGTGGCAGGTAGAACTGCTGTATCAGCTACCTTCGCGTCTGGACTTCACCGTCACTTAACATCAGGTGTGGTGGAGTCAGTGCCGTCTTTGACCTATTGGAGGCCCTGGGCATATTAGAATACTGGGGCCCCTATGACCCCCATTTGGTGAATTAACAGGAACTAGGGACTTTGTATTTGATCTGGCCCCCCTATTGATCGCGGGGTCCTGGGCAATTGCCCAAAGTGCCCACTGGGAAAGAGGGCTATGAATGGAATCATTCGTCGGACCTATCTATATAAAAAAAAACCTAGTGGTGTAGTGTCTATAGGCGACGGCGATCACTTACCATCAGGTGAGCCGTCTGCTCGTCTGCCCCCTATAAGATAAAAAAAAAATGGGTGCGTGTACTTATGTAGACGCGTGAGAAGTTATCCTTCTTTGGCATCGTTTAAAATTAGTTTTTAATTGCATGCAAATAATTAATTACAATAAATTAATAAAAAGTCTGGAAAAGGACACAGTCAATAAAGTTCAGTTTTAATTTGAAAAAATAAATAAATAATCAAAATATTCAATTAAAATCGTTACTGAATATAATTTATTAGAACATATGTGATTTGCACTTGTATGAAACTCAAACACGTATTCCGAATATACAAACTAGAAACATGTGGATAAATATTATAAATATGAATTCCTGTAACTGTTACTTTATTACAAAAAATAAAGATGTGGTTTTTGGTTCTACTACACCAATGGTCAAGAGATGGCGCTGTAGTCTCCTGAATCGCGCTTTGGTTCCGTTGTTCCAGATTAATAAATACTTTTGATAGGCCTTCACAATGCAGTCGTTAGCACCCACTAAATAGAGATTCTATTTCTATTTTGATGGTAGATTTTTTTAATGTGCGGTAAACACAAAAGTAACGCATGAAGTTGGTCGCTAAAGCGACCTACTTCATGCTGTTAATATTTTGTGTTACAGTGATGCGCGCGCATCTTAAAATTTCACTCTCATCATTTTTTCATAACGCCCCTAAAGAAGTATAACTTCAAAAACAATGCCAAATTGTGGCGTCCGCGTCGTAGAGGTGTGGAGGATATTTACCTATTTAGCTGTTTCGCTCGCGGTCAGTCAGGTCACCTTTAATGTTGTAATACAATTAAGAAATCTTAATATTATGATAAGTAGTCATTTATAACTACCTCAAATAATGTAAAAATACTTAATAAAACATTTTGCAAAAAACTGTGTTCTGAAACGGCATCAAGAATTATGTAAAACTGTAATATGTCGCGCTTCCTAAAAAAGTTTTGAATAAAATTGTCGGTGAAAACAAGCAATTATGTGTTCATTTAATTACTTGTAAAAATAATGGTTCTCATGTACAAACGCTCTTCCCTATTTCACCCTGTACAAATTAAATTTTTACATTAAAACTATCTATCTATCTGTGACATCTATACATATAATAAAATGGTATGAAAGTCAAAACTGTACATTAAATATTTTTTTAAATGAATATTTGAGTGTGATCTTCAATCGATACCGAAGCCAAAACCATAGTTTTTAGAAATTTTGTCTGTTTGTCTGTGTGAATATCCGGTATAAACTCAAAAAGTGCCGCATGGATTTACTTCAAATTTGGCACGAATATTATTTAGAAGTCGGGTCAACATATATGCTACATATTATCACGCTATCATCTACGGGGAACGAGCAGTGAACCTTTATTTCTAACTAACTCCAAGCGTACGAAGTCGCGGGCGGCCGCTAGTGTAAAATAATGTTTAACTTAAATAGACGTCTATTCTTTATCTCACCCTTCTTCCAGCTTGTTAATTTTATCCTCTTATTGTTAATTCTTGTAAGCTATTGTTAAGCTCTTATTGTTTGCAGTACTGCGAACCGAGTCGTATGGTGCCGTCACCTTGGTCCTCACGATGGTGTCCAAGGACATGCGCAAACTGGGCTACGACAATCAACCACCGCCTTACAGAAATACATGATGACTGTTGAGCATAGTACTCCAGTAAAGTATAAACTTCACAGGATTTTAGAGGGTCATAAGAATGTTGTAAAATATGATGTAAGTACTTGTATAAGTAAAATAAATGATATATCAACTATGATTATTATTATTATAGACTAGATAGAGCAATCCAAATAAACCTTGCAAAGAAAACGGATCATGTTACGCGCAATGTGTGCGTGACCCTAATATCAGATTGTACTAAAGCAGCCAATGTGTGCGTGTGAAGCGACGAGTATATCTACCATATGTAGTAGATATTTTTTGCGCTTCCATGCAGTTAATACGGTATCTAGGGTGTATATATACAAAGGATATAAATAAATTATTTCAGTTACAATTTTATTTCACATCATCATCAATAGGGGAAAAATGCATAAATGTGAGTTACCAAGATGTGTGGGACTCTCATCTCCCCGGGACTCTTCTAACCTGGGATTCTCTTCTGCCCCTGGGATTCTACTCTCTCCTAGAACTTTCCTCTGTCTGGGCGGGAAACTGCACCCATCCAGCCAGACATACAGCATGGCTCCACGTAAGATCATAGATAGTATGGCCCGTCTAACAAATCAAGATTTCATGTTTTGTTGTTAGATTCAATAATCTCCCGATGGACGGGTTTGCATTCTGTTATTTTTTTAACAGACAAATAATTATGGACCAAGGATTTCTCTTAAAAATTATGCGACTCAATCAATGCCAAATATGACGTCGGTAATCCCGCAAGTGATATTGTAAGTATGTTGTAGATATTATGTTTGTTTATTCGGGAAGTTTCCTGTTATCTAGTCCAATGTCGCAATAATTACCCGTATGTATATCTCATCATTAGTTTTCCCTTGAATACGATTACCTCCATACAATATCATGTTGATAAATTACAGAAGAAAACTTGTTACATTCCTTATCAGTCATTCATTTTTCGTTTGTTTCCTGTTGTCTGCGAAGAGATAATGCTGTTTGGCGTTTTAATTGCAATGTACGTTGAAGCCAATTAAAGCGCCATCATTATTTTATCTTACTTTAATTTGAGAGGCACATTTTCATTCAAAGCGTTTCGTATAAACTTCAAGCAAAAACGTCTATTGATGTGAATTTTGGTTGAATACACATAAAAAAATACATTACATGAAAACACTAGCCTTTAGAATTATTTTTTTGCTTGTATTGTAACATTATCAAAAAAAGTTGCATCACATGATATTAACACACATAGGTAATCTCATCATACTCGTGATTTAGCCTACATCTACCGATCCTAAAGATGTTTGCTTTTTTCGGGTCTGGCCGTTACGTACCCCTTTCCGCGACTCCCCCGGCCGGGACACAGCCAAAGCGAAAATTTATTATTCAGCAACTCTCCCGGTCTAGAAACACTTATTTTTAAAACACCCGTTTTTGACAGGAAACTTGTGTCAATACAGTTGAATACAGAAGTGTTATTGAATTAAAGTGTTTCATTTTGTCCAGTTATTTAAATAACTAAGATTAGTAATAATTTTAAAAATGCAATTAAAAAATAATAACTAAATTGTACATATATTATAAAAATACATTATCAATCAAAAGTAAAACCGAACGGAAACAATGAAAGGGTAGCTCACCTATTGTGTAGGTTAGCTGAACTCAGATGAGTTTTTGATAACATAAGATACCTATATTGAGATGGACAATAAGTGCATCCCTTTCGCTCATGGTCGAATATCGCAAATATGCAAGTGGTAACGGCAATCACATCACACTAATATTATAAAGGCGAAAGTTTGTGAGTGTGTGAGTGTGTATGTTTGTTACTTCTTCACGTCTAAACGGCTGGAGCGATTTTAATAAAATTTGGTATGAAGTTAGCTGACACCCTGGATTAGCACATAGGCTACGTTTTAATGCGGGAAAATATCTCTAGTAAACCGCGGGTAACATCGTGGGGCACAGCTAGTTAATAATAAATGATTACATAAATCAGAAAACCACCTTTATTTTTTAGTAAGATAATAATAAAAAAAACCTACTACATTAGACCTATGTAGATAGACGTAGGCAATCGCTCACCGCTATAGACCACAGGTAAACCTACTAAGTACTACTCTTTTTTTTAAACATTATGTTCACAACAGTACTTTATTCAAGTATCTTGGAAAAAGAAAAACGGGTATGGCGGAATAACAAAATTTTCACTTTGGGTGCGTCCCGGCTGAGGGCATCGCGGAATGGGTGCGTAACAGCCGGACCCATACTTTGTATCTGTATTGACAGCTGGATAATAATTATGTAATGATAAATATATAATATTTTTTTTTAAACATTATGTTCACAACAGTACATTACTCAAGTATATTGGAAAAAGAGAAACAACGGGTACGGTGGAATAACAAAATTTTCACTTTGGGTGCGTCCCGGCCGGGGGCGTCGGGGAATGGGTGCGTAACGGCCGGACCCATACTTTGTTTTTGTATTAACAACTGGATAATAATAATTATGTAATGATAATGTGGATTAGTATTTTTGTGTTATGAAACCAAGACAAGACCAGAAATTCGAGTTCGGAAAAGAAAAAAAATACTGGCCAAGTGCGGGTCGTGCCATGCGCAGTGTAGGGTTCTGTAGTTGCCCATCGTTACTACAATTTATTTCAGATACAAATTTTATTTTGTTAATTCTGAATATTTTAATGAGTTGCGTTTATGTTCATAATAACAGCTCATTTGAAATTATTGTCGCCAGAAAACGACTTTAGGTTTGAAATAACGTTACTTATTAGTTAAAATGGTCTTAGCAACCCCTAAGTCATTTTAAAGGACCTATTCAACGTTACCCCACACGATGGGGTAGACGATGAAAAAAAAATCCCGCTTTACATGTAGGGGACCTATCCTATTTTTTTTTTAATGTTATTCTACCACTGCGGTGATGACGGGGTACAGTAAACGAAATTATATTTAGTCCGTCAGTTAGATAATCAAAAAACAATGGATACGTATTTTTTTCTTTGGGCAATCAACCAAAAAATGACAAAGTTATAGCGCGTCAAAGTTTGGGAGTAGGGGCTCGTGACGTCACTTTTGAGTGAATTTTCACTTATAAGTGTACTCAAACGTGACGTCATGCGACTTTTCAAATTAATATATCTCTGCAATGTTTATATTATGTGAAAAAAGAAAAAATACGTGTCCAATACTTTTTGATAATCTACTTGATAAACGAAGAAAAAAAAATAGTCATCATCCCTATTGATATACATAGATACCTCTCCAAATTTACTGTTCTTTAGTGCCATAACAGTCTCTAAGCAAGAGCTCGGACATACCAAAACTATAAGGGCTCCTTGTCAGATCTACGGAACCATAAAAAACGATAACTTAATCTCTGTTTGTTTTTAAATCAAAATCTACGTAGCAATCACGAATGAAAAACCTGTCAGAATACGTACGTAATTCTAAATATTATGAATTAAACATTACCTACATAATAACAATCGGCCCATTAGTCAATATTTATTTCTCCGTGTTAAATTCAGACGAATAAATCTTGATAAAAATAGTAGAGTCGATGTTGTAGAACAGGTTCTACAAGATGCTGACGTCTTGAAGGTGGGAGGGTGTGACTGTTGCCATCAACACAGGCACCAATCGCTGTTGAGAAATAGGAAATTACCCATGTGGTATCATATTAGTTAGATAACATTAACCGCAAACCGAACGTTTGATGTAGACACCGCCGCCGCCGCGTGCTTCAACTAATTTGTCATTACGTTGAGGTATGCGTGCAATTACGTCATTTTAATTATTTGTGATTGACCATAATATGTATTGAGAAACCGCACCGAGTCACCGAGGAAAATATATCTATATTTTGAAACCAAGATACTAACTACTACAGTAAACTTGCTGCATCGGAGATCTGATAGGTATATATTTTAATCTAACACGATGCTGAGGCATTACAGAGACCCATTAATTAATAAACTTCTTACATTCACATCGCAACACTCGCAGAACAATAATTTTATAATACCATAGACATTTTTTTTCTTAACGATAAAACAATTCGGCACGACGATAACGACCATGGTGTTACCTTGGCTAGGAAATTTTTTTCGTTATATCAGAGACGATGAGGAATATGGATATCGTTTCGCTACGAAGCGATGTTACTTTGTTTGAGCCTCCAGACTCTTTATTGTTATTATTGATGATCTTTAAGTCTTTACTCATATTAGCTAGAAGTAACGCTGGAGCCTAAGATAAGTGGCAATCTTCCTATTCGTTGAAATTTACCGTTAACTTTAAACTTTGAAATAGTACATTGTTCATCGGAACAATGTATTATTTCAAACTTTAAAGTTATAGAGAAGAAGTGATTGATGACCAATGAGGGTGTAGTTTGATACCCGAGACGCTGCCGGCAAGGGCCTTAATACAACCGAGTTGGGAATAGCACTTTCTTTCGAGGGATAAGTACTTACTTAGTACTTTATACTATACCTACGAGAAAATAAAAGAAATTCTTTATTTTAAATTCATATTAAAGTTGTTACAGTAAGTGTCGGGCGTGTGGCCCGTGTGCGGCACGGGCCACACGCCACAGCCACAAACGCCGCCACGAGAAGCTAGAAGCGGCTACTAAAGTGGCTGAAACGCGCGACAGCGGCCGACTACGGTAAGGGAGAGAGAGGTGGAAAATCGCGCGAGTGACGTGTGGCGGCGTTTTGTATCGGCGCATTAAGTGGCCGGTGCGGGCCACAAGAAGCGAGCAACGACGATTTGTAGCGTGTGGCGGCCACCGGCGTACCGTGTATGGCGAGTCCATATAAAATGTATGAAAACTACAAGAAATATGCCGGTGGCGGCATGAGTAATATACGGCGTCTCGAATAGATTGGAAAACAAATTAAAAACTCAGTTAAAATAAGGCGCTTTTTACTTTGTTTCTTCTTTAAAATTAACAGCACCTTAGCTATGAATTTCCATAGACTTTTCTACCCACTCAGCGCGTTAAAAATGATTTTCCATACACTTTACCAGTCCGCTTAGTAGTACAACAGTAATGAGGTCGTGTCTGCCTTATTTTGAAAACACTT